CAGCCCAGTGACCAAAAGGTGCTAATTACACATTCTTCTTATAACAAGGCAAGTCTATCAGCAGCCTGTGAATCCCCCCAAACTTGCTGACTGAATATAGAATGGCCTGTCCCTAATGAATACAAGCTGAGTTTGCACTATTTTCCATGTCAAAATCAAGTTATTTCCAGAAGAAACAAGGAGCTTAAACTGAATTAGAATATTGCAGCAGTATGAAATACAAAAGGGTGCTGTGCTATTATCTGGGGTGGCTGTCAATCTGATTTTTTTTGCCCTTCTCATAAACCAGAGACAGAAAATAGATAAGCTCATTTATATTATAAAATGCTGAAGAGGTCAGTGGAGTATTGTGCAAATCAAATTCTAACTCAAAAGACTATGTGGAGCAATGCAATTCTGATTTCTTATTCAATTTTGGGCACATATTGTAACAAGACAGCGGCAAGTCGCACAGCACCACACACAAAATCTTTAGCAGATTCTTCCCCTGAGCTCACAACACTGTGATCTATTTTTAATGGGTAAGAAAGTTACTCATTGTTAAAACAAGATTGATCTCATATTCTGTTAAGAAAGCAGGCGCACAGACCCTGTAGTCCAAGCTTTCAAGCTTCACTGCGGTTGCTTTGTCCTGAGTACCATCATTTTATTTTCAGGAACACAGAATGTTTTAGGGTTGTTGAGTGAGGGGGGGGGGGTTGTGGGGGTTTTTTGGTAATGAAAAAGTTTTTGGAAGTTAACAAAAACATTCCCCATAAATATGATTTCTATTTTACTCCATGACTAAAAAGACAAAAATGACAAGAGGCCTAAGTTAGCGCAGTTTCTGTGGACACCAGCCAGGCCCAAAACATTTTGCTGCCTCATGCAAAAAATAAAATAAAAATTGAATTTTACTTCAGCAATGGCATCAGGACACCTGAAGACATCAGGCTTAAGTGTCAGAAATGGCTTTGTCCATCCACACCTCGCCACCATTCTTCACCCATCTTCTGCCTGAGGCAGTCACGTCATTCTGCCCTGTATAGTATACACCAGTGTTTGTTGTATGGTATTCTACAGAAGCCCAAGGCCCAAGGGGTACTGTAAAGAAAAAAGTTGCCATGGTGGGCAAGCATGCATAGTGTGTGATTTCCATTGAGCTACGGCCATGGGAATTAAATGCACTATTCAAGCAATTGTCCTAGGAATCCTTCCCCTTCTTTCCTTCCCTCTCTGTGCTTTCCAAGGATTAAATTTCAGTAGCGGTTGATGAGGCAGCAGTGTGTTGCTTACCTGGCTTCTCAACAGCACTGCATGTTGCTGCTGGTTACTGAGAGGGAGAGGGGAGCAGCTGAACCAATCTGACGCTCCCTGCTGCTATGCCTCTACCACACCCAACAATGTAGTTACAGGAAGGCAAACTGGGCAGTTGCCTGCGATGGTAAATTTGAGGAGGAGACACCTCACCCAAAAGCTCAGACCAGACTCTGGAACTGGCAGTTACCACAGTGGCCTCATGGGCCAGCAGTGGGGCAGGCAGGGTGACCTCAATGTACCAACTAAGGACAGTGCCCCCCCACTCTGAAATGGGAGGTGTTGCAGCTACAGAACAGCCTCTCCTAAAATAGGGCATTCCTCTCTGATATTATCCACCATGGCAGTCACAGTTATTCCTCTGTGGTAACACTGGTGAAAATGGCTCATACCACATAGCATTTCTGGCTTGTAACTCTTGTTTAGTTCCGGGGCACATGCATTGAGATGCGGGTAGATTAGGATGGTTTTGCTGGATAGGCTTTTTGCTTGCTGTTTGCTACTTTTGTTTAGGACTTAATTGGTGGAGCTTATACAAGAAGTAGGTTTCACTCATTAAATAGTTCATTAAAGACTGTATATATCTCATATAGCATTTTAAACTTTCTCAGTGGCAAATCATGTTTCTCAACAAATTGGCACATTTAAAAATACTATGGTACAGATGCCCAGCAAAGCTACATTTTTATTTCAAATAAGGGGGAAATTTTTACATCTACTCTAATAAAGCTGAGGTTCTCTCTCGTGCTCTTGTACTTTTGTATCGTTGTCTACATTTCTAGGTCATTCTAAAATGATGACTTTGTTACCTTCCTGGTAAAGTTCTGTAATTCAGAGTTTCATTTTATTCTGAAAAAGGGTCATGTCATTCAGCCTGGATCTAACATGTCAGTGCCACTTAGTATTGTGTTTCTTCTGACCTTTTTTTTAAAGGTCCACCAAGTAGTGGTGCATTTTGTGTAAGGAGAGTGGTGGGAATCTTCAGGGCACCTTCTTCACTGTACTTTATTTTCCTGTTCCTTTTGTAAAATTTTGAGGGCAAGACATCTCTTTTTTTAGATTATATTAAACTTTGACAAAGTGTGACACTTCTGTCCATCCAGATAGCAAAGGACAGGCTTCCAAACTTTGCAACTGTGTCGGCACTTCCCAGATGGAAAAGACTTGGGCTTCCTATGGTTATAGCTATCACTGGAGAGAAACAGTGATTCAACCGATAATTTATAGAACAGACCCTATAATTCAAGGAGATATGGTTTGTGAAATTGCCCCATTAAAACTTTATTTCTACAAATTCACTGATTCTTTAGCATGTCTACTTGGGAGAAAGTCCCATTGAATACATGGGGCTTACTTCTAATTAGACATGCATAGGACAGCACTATTAATCTCCAATTTCTTCTCCACCTCCCAAAAAGCATGATGTCAAGGACTGCCTTTTAAAGGAGTGGGAAACTTTCTCTCCCTTCTCATGGGCCAACTTTGGCAGACAGGCAGGTCAACCCAACTTTCAATCACTTGGTTTCATTACGATGTCACATGATTGACAAATGGGTATCCCACTCACTTATTAAAATCCTTTCATGGGAATTGACACCGTGACATGGACGGGAGGAAGAAAGGAGCGTTTTGCAAGCGAAGGCAACAAAGGAGACTTCTCCCGAGCGGTGCACTTGCTTGCAAGACTCATTTTTTTCTTCCTTCCCCATTGTGTAAGGGGGAAAAAGTTGCCCAGAAACTGAGGTCCAGCGCCAAGGGCCTTCTGGCGGTTCCTTCACTGCGAGAAGCCAAGTTACAGGGAACCAGGCAGAGGGCCTTCTCGGTAGTGGCACCCGCCCTGTGGAACGCCCTCCCTCCAGATGTCAAAGAGAAAAATAACTACCAAACTTTTAGAAGACATCTGAAGGCAGGCCTGTTTAGGGAAGCTTTTAATGTTTAATAGGTTATTGTATTTTAGTGGTTTGTTGGAAGCCACCCAGAGTGGCTGGGGAAACCCAGCCAGATGGGCAGGGTATAAATAATAAATTATTATTATTATTATTATTATTATTATTATTATTATTATACAACAAAGGTAGAGTTGCAGGAAATCTCCTCCATTCCTTTATTCCAATGCAAATGCATCCTGAAGTTCCAAAACACACCTTTCTTCCTGTTTTGGGGGGTGAGGAGCATTTTGCAAGCACTCAGCTGGCCACTGTGAGAACAGGGGGCTATAGGACTACAAAGGCTATTCTTCTGATCCAACAGGTTCTTCTTATGATCCAATTTCCCTACCCCCGGTTTAAGCAGTGAGTGGAAAGACACTGCCTGGATACAGGTTTCATCCATAGATGCACAGTGTGGTAGATCTGGAATACAAGGTCTTCAGACTCCAAGTCTACTCACTATTTGTTCAGTTATTTGTAATATTTACTTCCTCCACCCCCCCACCCCCCACCCCCCACCCCGTGTTTGCTTAGATGTAAATCCTGAATAATTCAATGGGACTTGCTGCCAAATAAGCAAGTATAGGACTGATGGCTGATTCAGTATGCCACTGGCATTTGAAACCTCGTAAAATAAAATGTTATCTTGTAAATTCATTGCATGCTAATCTCATGATTATATCTGGAATTTATTAATGCCCAAGTTTGCTCTCACAAAGAAACCCATGGCCAAATTCACAACTGTGTGGGGTAGGGCTGGGCTAGGCTGGTAATTTTTAGAATAGGCATTGTGCACATCCTCATGGGTCAGTGACACACCTTAATTATTCCTTAGGTGTTCAAAGGCTAAAACTGGGCAGTCAAACTGCTACTTCAAATTAAGGGTTGAAAATAGCCCTGAAACAGTAGTATAGCTACAGAAAAAGAAATAAAGTAACTAACAGTAAATACACTTTAAAATACTGTATATGATAGGTAAAGGGACCCCTGACCGCTAGGTCCAGTCATGACCAACTCTGGGGTTGTGGCGCTTATCTCACTTTATTGGCCGAGGGAGCCGGTGTACAGCTTCCAGGTCATGTGGCCAGCATGACTAAGCCGCTTCTGGCAAACCAGAGCAGCACACGGAAACGCCGTTTACCTTCCCGCCGGAGCGGTACCTATTTATCTACTTGCACTTTGTCCTTTTGAACTGCTAGGTTGGCAGAAGCTGGGACCGAGCAACGGGCACTCACCCCGTTGCGGGGATTCGAACCGCCGACCTTCTGATCAGCAAATCCAAGGCTCTGTGGTTTAACCCACAGCGCCACCCGCATCCCACTGTATATGATAGGGGGCGGTGAATAGGGTAGAGGACGAATATCTCCAGAAATTGGTTATGCGAGCAAGAGCAGGCTGCCTGCATGTTAAAATCCTCCCTATGATCTGCGAATATTTCTGCTAGGATCTATTGGGTTTTCTTTTTTGCCGTCCTGGGCTGCCAAAATCCCGTTCAGTGAGATGCAGTCAGCTTTGAACTAACCACCTCTGCCTCCTGCTGCTTCAGCATTCTCACTTTGTGGAGAGGAGGAGGAAGGGGAGGAGGAGGAGGGAGAAACCAAAGTGCGAGATAAAAGCGAACACCTCCCTTCTGTGCATAGAGAGAGATAGAGAGATGCGCACCGACCATCTTTACAGCTGGCGGTCATTTTGCTTCAGTTACGTTGAATCGGATGGGATGGGTCGGCCATTTTCGCGAGGGGCGGATCTGAAGGCAGCAGCGGCCATTCCAGTTGAGGGCAGCTTCGCTTCAAACCCATTGAAACGGAGGCAAAACGAGGCGGCTCTCTTTTCTAAGGGCAAGGGTGCGAAAGGGGAGTTGTCCTCGCCATGTGATCACCCCTCCTACCTACCCACCCACCCTCCGTGGAGCTCTGGAAATACATTTAACTGTAAGAGTAATATTATTTGCAGCCGCTCTTGGCTTCCTCCGTGCTCTGCTTTTAACGATTTTAAATGCTAGGGTGATGGTTTTGAAGGGCAGTCGGGAAAAGCAACCACCCGTGAGTAAACCTCTGGGAGAGGACGGCTTGCAACAGGCCGGGAGAATGGTTGAATGAGTGTATGGGTGGGAGCTTTCCTCCCTTTGCTGGCTTCCCTCCAGCTTGCTAGCTACTCGGGGGAATCCACACGTTCCCAGAGTCAGACAGTAAGTGTGAATAAGGGAGACGTCACAGGTGGCCTAGCAAAAACCCTTCGCCAATGGGAGGGCTTTGAAGGAATTGCAGAGTTGGAAGGGACCTCAAGGGTCATCCAGTCCAACCCCCCCCTGCAATGCAGGAATTTCAACTAGATCATCCATGACAGACTGGCTGTCTGACCTATGCTTTAAAAACCTCCAAGGAAGGAGAGTGCACCACCTCCCAAAGGAGACCATTCTATTGTCGAACAGCTCTTACTGTCAGAAAGTTCTTCCAGGTGTTTAGTCAGAATCTCCTTTCTTGTAACTTGAAGCCATCGGTTTAGATCCTCGCTTCTGGAACAGGAGAAAAGAAGCTTGCTCCATCTTCCACTTGACAGCCCTTCAGATATTTGAAGGTGGCTATCATATCTCCTCTGCCAGGCTAAACATACCCCGCTCCCTCAACTGTTCCTCATAAGGCTTGTTTTCCAGACCCCTGATCATCTTGGTCACCCTCCTCTACGCATGTTCTAGCTTGTCAACATCCTTCTTAAATTGTAGGGCACACAGAATAGAGTGGGATTATTACTTCCCTTGTTCAGGGCACCATACTTCAGTTGATGTAGCCTAGAATAGTATTAGCTTTTTTTTTTGCTTCTTTCCTAGCCCCGGCCTGACCTAAATTTCTCAGGTGTTCTGATTTTGGCATCATGTTGTGCTTGCAGCTTAAGGAGGAAATAATGCACATCTTGCAATATCCGCTTTCCTCTGTGCGATGACTCCACAGGGAAATACACCATTATTATGAGTGGTTTCCAATGCTAGCTCTACTCAGAGTAGGCCCATTGACACTCATAGACATAATTAATTTAGGTTCATTAATTTCAGTGGGCAGGGCTGGCCTCTCTTGTTCCTTCCTCCTCTTCCTCCACAGCCTCCTCCACTCATTCCATTGCTAATCTTCACTTCCCCCATAAAATCTTCACCTTTCCCTCTCACCCTAAAGCTGATTTATACTCTCCCCTCTCATTTCAACTGGTGTGTGTGTGTATGTGGTGAAGGATTGTGTTGTTAGTGTCAGGTGCCAAAATGTCTTGGGCCAGCCCTGTCAGTGGGTCTGCTGTGAGCAGGACTTACAACCCTTACAACCCTTTGGTTGTAATCCCATTCTTGCTAGGGAGTAAGACTCATTGGGCACTTTTAAAAAGGCCTGTTTAGGTCTACATTGCCTGTTGTTTAAAGACTTTCAGCAAGGCTTGCTACACTGCCCATTTCCCTGATGAGTTCTGTGGCTGTGTAGGGTTCTTCAATGTGATCTGTTTATTGAGAATCCACCCTGATTTGCTGGCAGAAAGCTTACACAGATGTCATACTATGACCAGTCTTTACTGTGTGCTTGTGGGGAGGCTATAGAGCTATGAGCATTCATCCTGATTTGCTTGTGCAGTGGTTTGATGTATTTGCATTAACCAGTTGTTTATCCAACAGCATTTAGTGCATTTCCCCATCTCTTTCCTAACAGCAAAAAGTATTGTTGTTGTTGCAACAATAGAGCACTTTGCTCCACTTTAATTGCACAAACTCAGCTTTACAGTATGTTATTGACTCCCTCACACAAAACACTGATAATGTGGAGGCAGCCCTGGTCATCCACACCTGTCATATGTGCCTATGCATTCCATGTCATTAAAAACAAACAACTTTACATATTTTGTATGTGACACATTTTTTGACAAGTTCCCAAAGATTACAAATAAACTGATGTTGGCCATAATTCTAAAATCGACTTGTATTGGCACTGGTGGCAGAGTCCCCTTCAAAGTCTAAATAAATAATATCTTTTCTCAGAATTAAGATCTGTTTCTCTTGGTATGGAATATACAGTAGCCAGCCATGCCAAGAAAATACCCCTGAAGGATCAAATATAACATTTTAAATATGAATTGATGGGAAATATTTAATGGATGCAGATTTACTTATTTGCCTAAATAATTTTTTTTGAGTACACATACCGCCCCCAACTTCCAAAGAAAGGATTGGTTTAACTCTGCTTACTTCATTATGGATTTTCCCTCAAGGTTGTGTGCCTGTATCTCATTCCTGTAACATAAATTCACACAGGAAGAGCTTTTTCTGAGGCAGACAATGGTATACCAAAGCACTCCATCCCCTTTTGTGCCCATGCCTAGATATTCAGTAGATGTTTTTGTAAAAATATTCAGCTTCAGTTTTCAGCACTAGAGTTACAGCATCAATTGCACTGATGAAAATCATACCGTTGAAAGTAGCCTTCTGATTTAGAATAATATGATATGTGTCCTCGTTTACACCCTGGAAACATACATGTCTCCATTCTTTTCACCAAGTATTGTAATTCTGCAGAGCTAAACTGCTCATGCCATGCGAGTTTGATAGGCACAGACATTGCAGAATGAAGACACAGGGTTATGAAAGCTTACCCATCCATAGACAAGCTGCTCTGAGCTTCACACAGCAGCCTGCAGATATACTAATTCACCGTGGGTCTTTGATATGATAAATTAGTGTGAAGGAGAGGTGCCAGTCACCAGTCATACTGCTGGCATTTGCAAAACAGCAATGGTAGAGCATCACTCCCCGTGATGTTCCCGAATGTTTTGGGAGCACACGCATCTCCCTCATACTTTCCATGAGAATAATAATTAGGATCCTGATTAATTAATCAATCAATCAATCAATCAGATTTATTGATTGAAGGCCTTTTGATTGACTAAAATGTAGCCCACCTAACCAGGACACAGATGTTTCCTCTCCCTTAATGTTAATTATTAAATGTTCCTTTTTAATAACTGTACATGGCAGGCATCATTATAGATGAGTCTGTTCCCTTCCTTTAAAAGATGCTTCTCACAAGATGGTGTCTGCTACAACAGATTTATGTGGTATCTGAAAACAAAGAGAGAGTGCTTTCTTATCTCTGCAAAATAAATATTTTATGTACATGCAAATATATGCAGATATAATCAGTTAAAATTCATACAGCCAGGGCTTCTTTTCAGCTGAAAGTAACCAGAACTCAGTTCCGGCACCTCTCAGGTAGGTGTCATTGCCATTCTAAGAGAACAAGGGAGGCATTCATGGTGAGTTCTGGCACCTTTCTTTCTAAAATAACAGCACTGCACACAACTAATATATTAAAACTGCAATTCTGTATTCACTTTCCTGAGAGTAAACCCTTTTGCCCTCAGTAGGACTTAGCTCTGAGCAGACTTGGTTAGGCTTGCACTGTAAGATTTCTCTAATCAGGTGACGACCTTTTAAAGAAAACAATGTGAGCTAGAATTATTGAGGCAGCATATGAAGTGATTTGATTACTTGGAAAACATGCTGTGTTGGCTAAGCCTGTGTAATGCTCTCTCCTCATGAAATATTGTGTGTTTCCCTTCCTCTTTTAATCAGTAATAAAAGTCCATTTAAACTTAACAGGAGTAAGACTGCACTTTGAACCCTCAGCTGGTAGGAAGATTCCAGATAAAGAATTCCTCACATGCTGAAAATGTCAGCATTGTACAACTCTTGACAGGATTTTCAGGGTCAGGAGATGTCCTGTGAACTATGTGGTCGCTTCGTGAATGAGATCTAGGCAATAGCTCATCCCATTTCCACAGTTGAGACGTGAAATTAAAGGAAGCTTGCAGGCAGTATGCATTGATTTTGTTTTGTAAGGGATGTTAGTTCTTCTGACCGAGTAACAATTCTGCATTTCTATCCAGGAAACAACATGAAGCCAGTAATCGTGGTTCATGGTGGAGCTGGTCGCATCTTTAAAGATAGAGAAGACGGATGTCGTTCTGGTGTCACCAGAGCAGCGCTGAAAGGTTACGGTATCCTTAAACATGGAGGAAGTGCATTAGATGCAGTGGAAGAAGCTGTGGTAGTAATGGAAGAGGATCCACATTTTAATGCAGGTAATTTTTGTGAACTTTCTGTGCCCCCACAGCCTTTGGCCTAGTTCCCATGTCCCAATGGAACTCAGCTTCTAACTAAGCCCTAGCACAGATAACTGAAACAACCATGTACTGCTTCTCTTTTCTCCACTGCCTCCCCTTTCTCTGCTGTTTATCTGTTTCAGATTTTATACTTCATGCACCTCAGGGCAGCAAACGGTTGTCTTAAATATAAATAACAGAAGTTGTGCCTGTGCGTGATGGAGCAGGGCTTTATCATCAGTTATGGAATTCCCTCTCCTGGGAATTGTTGCCTTTTAGGAGCCAGTTCCAGACATTTTTATTCTCCCTGGCTTTTTAAATAAAACGACATTTTTAGATCTGATGGAAGAGGGAGTTATATTTTAAACACTGGAAGTGAGTCACCCATTTGGCTGGTTTTGAAGAGAATTTGGAAAGTGCTTTTTTATTTTAATTATGAGGGTATGCTTGGGGATTAATTATGAAATTGTATTTTATTGTAATTTCTCAGTGTGAACCATTTGGGGATATGTTTGCATGAAGGGCAGTATCACTGTGGAGATGCAGCAGGTTGCTCACTATGTGTACTTTCTGCAAACAAGACGTTTTTGTTTCAACAATCTTTTTCATCTGGATGAAAAGGTCCCTGCCGTAGGTGTACATTTTGTATTCTTACTTAAACCCATCTTCAATTTTTGGTACTGTTTTAAAACTATTTTTATCTGTTTTCATGGTATGGTTGCAAATCACCTTGAGACACATGTAAAAGGAGATTAATAAATTAAATAATAACAATAAGATGCAATAGCTTTAGGAAATGAATAAATTAATAAGCATCAGGTCTAAAGGGAAATGTATTGTACTTGTTCCACGTTTCAAGTTGAGAATACCATTTCTTACTTTGTGCCTGAATGAAGTTTGGTAAACAGCAGGAAATATTTTAAATTCAATGTCTCCAGCATGATAAAACAGATACAATTTTGGCAGGATAACTCCTCTCTATGGATTCTTCTCATTTTTACATTGACAATTCCACTGGCTTGACTTGGTAAACCAGCAGCATGGTATTAAACAGCCTAACTGGAATTTTCTTTATGGATCAGTGTGGCTCCCTTTGCTTTTTATGAGAGGAAAAGGTATTTATGTGCCAGTGATTCTCAAAACATGGCTTAGAGAGCCTCATTCATTGTGGGGAAGGGGTTTTTGTTGTCGGTATCCCTTTCCACTCTCTGCTGCCTATTAACCAAAGTTACAGACAAGAGAGGGCTGATCACCGAAGAATTGATGCTTTTGAATTATGGTGCTGGAGGAGACTCTTGAGAGTCCTATGGACTGCAAGAAGATCAAACCTATCCATTCTTCAGGAAATCAGCCCTGAGTGGTCACTGGAAGGACAGATTGTGAAGCTGAGGCTCCAATAATTTGGCCACCTCATGAGAAGAGAAGACTCCCTGGAAAAGACCCTGATGTTGGGAAAGATGGAGGGCACAAGGAGAAGGGGACGACAGAGGATGAGATGGTTGGACAGTGTTCTTGAAGCTACCAGCATGAGTTTGACCAAACTGCAGGAGGCAGTGGAGGACAGGAGTGCCTGGAGTGTTCTGGTCCATGGGGTCATGAAGAGTCGGACACAACTAAACGACTAAACAACAACAACAGACAAGAGATCAGTGCCAGGCCACAGTACAAGTGCCACAGAGCTGGAGGTATGGAAGAGCTGAGTGACACCACAACCGACCACTCAACTGTCTGCGCGGCCTCCAGCTCTGTGGCACTTGTACTGTGGCCTGTTTCCCAGAGCAATTCAGTTACTTAAGACAGAAGTAAAAAAAGAAGGCTGGGAGAGTCCAGACCAATGTATTCAACTTTGTGAACGAATTGTGCCATTTTGAAGTGAGACTGCTTTATTCTTTGAGAACCAGAACTAGATGAATTACTTATGTGGTTTAGGATTGCAGTCATTATTGCACATAAGTTAAAAGCAACCCCTCTCCCCAATTTTTGAAGGAGAGGGGGATGGATGATGTTGACTATGAAGAGCTGCTATTAAGCCATCACAAATCCCTGATAACCTTTCTGAGATAATCTGAGTTATCATCAGTCGATGACAACTTTGACATTTAGCAAGCTTATAAAAATGTAGCGTTTGTGTAAGACTCTCTCTCTATTTTTTTGCAAGATCCTTCCATTCTAAAATTAGCAAAGCTTTTGTTTGAGAATACTTCCTCTTTATTCAGAAAAATTCAGTATTTTGGTACCTTGTTAGTAAAAGTACTTCGTATTTCCACTGGTGCTTTTGCGAGGGAAATAGCTAGTATGTTGGCCTGTAGTTGTGATAGCCAAGCAACCAGGTCGTTAAATTTTGGCTACCCCCGATGTACAAGGTATTTAGTTCTGTAGTCACTCATATCTACATGTGTTAAGACTCATAAAATATATGGAGAAAATGAGCTGTGCAAAAAAGATTGGAGTTGAAACATACCATGCAGCTGTTATCTTCATAAAGGACAAAGCAGCCCTACTGTCATGTTGGGTGAATGTGATGTTGCAGGAGCACATTGACAACATTAGTAGAGCATGGAGGGGTTGAGGAATGGCTACTTTGTCCATTGCTCTTGGAAAATGTGCCAAAAGGGTGTTATCCTTTCTGATTACCCTTAGAAACCTGGAAGTGAGCCACAGTGTTCTAGAAAACACTCTTCATCCCACTTGCAAACAGGGCAATTAGGAAACAATAAGACAGAGCCAGTCTTGCTTATTTATTATTTATTATGTATTTTGTGTTTTTATCTTTTATTTTTATGCTGTCAATTGTCCCAAGATCTACGGATGAAGGGCAGTATGCAAATAAAATAAAATAAAATAAATAAATAAATAAATAGGGGCGCTGGCACCAGGTGGAGATTTTTAGGTGCCATTAAAGGGCAGCAAGTACCCCTCTTTTCTTAAAATGCAGGCACAGGGTATCATTTGGAATTTCTTCCTTGGGCAGCACCATTGCACCAAATCATCCTAAACCACAGCATCATAGAGTTGGAAGGGACCCTAAGGGTCATCTACTGCATTTGAGATATAGCTTACTGAGCAACTAAACACACTCTAACTTAGCACTGCAATTTAGGAACTCAGGCTGATGGCTTGATTTAAAGAAAGCAAAAATGGAAAGGTTTTGCATTTGTGAGGCTTTGCTATAGCTGTATGTATACCATGTAGTGACATTATTTATTTTAGCACCTCGTAGGAGAGAATTCATGGTTGGTAGGTAGGTGGCAACAAAAATCTGCTTTATTGTAACCCACATTTTTAGTGTGTTTTAAGAATCCACAATTGTTCACCTTCGTTTCATTTGACTCAAGTTCTGAACCTTCAGGACTGTTCAGGCTATGCTAGAAATTTGTGGACTGTATATTTAAAGATTCCAAATTATTGTTGTTGTTATTAGATTTCTCACACACCCTTCACCATGATGTCCCAGGGTGGGTTACAACAACCTTTTAAAAAAAACTAGTGTTGAGAATAAAGTGACAGTCAAGAGAATTGGGTGAGTCTTAAAATATATATGAGTTGTCAAAGCTCAGGGTAAAGAGGTTCATCTTCAGTTTATGATGAAAACTGCAAAATGAAGGTGCCAGATTCATCTCTGTGAGGAGGCTCTCAAAGTAAGAACATGAGAAACTATCACTCAATACAGTGCTCCATTATTCCCCATCTACTTATGCACTTATAGTTGTTTCCCTCATATAGTAGTAATACTTAATGTATTCCCCCCCCCCCCCCGTTTGATTGTTAGGTCGTGGCTCTGTGTTAAATGAGAAGGGTGAAGTGGAAATGGATGCCATTATCATGGATGGGAAAAATCTAGCCTCCGGAGCAGTATCTGCAGTGAAATGTATAGCCAATCCAATAAAGCTCGCTCGCCTTGTCATGGAAAAGGTAGGCTGAATGTGCACTTGAACAAAAGAAAAATATGATAGGGATGGAAAACCAGAGGCCTTCCAAAGGATTTTGGATTCCCACCTGCCCCAGCTGGCATGACCAATCATCAAGAATGATTGAAAGTGGTGTTTGTTTGTTTTTAATATAGGAAAATATCTGGGTTCGACAGACACTCCTTCAGACTGTGTGATCACCTTTCAATCTTTTTCTTTTTGGAGAAGAGGTTCTGACAGACCATAATGTGTGTTCTGTTGCCAACCTTTTTCCCTCCTCAAAAACAGCAATTGTGGACCAAGCCTTTTTAAACCCACCATGCCTATTCGCTACATCATTCTACAGTTTATGTTTTAATTCCAGTACTTCATTGTTCAATGATATCACTGCATTACTGATTTTAAAATGTCAGAAGGGACAAGTTGCACCAAGGTTTCACTTTGTGAAAAAGAAAAAAAACAGTGTTTGCAGGGTTCTCTCAGGGGAATTTCGAATCCTTGAGATCCCCCAGTTCGAACTATGTTCTATTTTGACAACAACAACCCCCCCAACACTTCATGGTCTTATTTACCTGTTTTCTGATTATAGTCGTGGCTGGACGTTTTTAGAATTTTCCTAATTTTTGCATCCTTGGCTTTCTAGTCCTGACTTTAGAGAGCCAGTTGGTCAACAGCTGCAGAAGAGGCAGATCTACTCTGTGGCAGGGAAGGGAAGAAAGAAGCTGAAAAGGCACTGATTAGGCAGGCATTTAGCAAGCACCATTGAAACCCAAAGGCTGACATACCAAGGCTCATTTTGAATGACCCTCATATTTATTTTGAGGGATCTAAGGTCCTGGCCACATTCAGCAGTTCATCACAAGCTGTCTTTAAGAAGCTCAGATGTGAAAGAGCTTTTTGCACCTGCACACAGCCACTTCACCCACCCCTTCGTGTGTGAGCAGGGAAACAAATCAGGAGCCCACGTTTCCTGTTATGTCTGCATCAGGAAACTATGGTTAATTCCAGGCTATGAAACCATGGTTTGTATCCTTGCTTGTTCAGAAGCCAGAACACTTTCCTTTGCTGAAGTTGTGTTTCTCACCTGTGACTAGAAAATGGGAATCTGCCTTTCTCTGTGATATGTATCTTGATCACTGACACATCATTAGCCAGTGCTGATCTTTCTTGCCATGGTGCACATGAAGAAGCAAGTAAGAGGCAACATGATAGTAATGTACAAAATTATTCATGGTATGGAATAAGTGAATAGGTAAGTCTTCCTCTCATAATTATAGTTTTGGTGGTGGTGGTGGAGGTCTGTTTTATGTTTGAACTGGGTAAAAAAAACAAGATACTTTACACCCCGCCAGGAACACTCCAAACTTCAATATTTTGTTGCAAACCCCCATTGTGAATACATATTATGCCATTTCTTTTCATGCAGCCTGGTAAGGCAAAATGCATTTTCCCCATGCGTGACCATTTCTTTATAAACTTAGGGAAACTTCCTTAAGCCTTGAAACTAATCAGAAATTTAAATGCAAATATATAATCAAAGAATATCAGGTTAGGAATTTTTTTGTTTCAGGTCCTCTTTGGCCCTTTTGAAATTTACCATTCTGAACAAGCAAAATAAATACTTGGTTATCTTTCCGTGGCACAATATTGGCTCCATCTGGTGGCCAAAGCGTGTTTCTTTGGATTTTGTCTAGCAACACCCATGAGCTTAGCCTATTAAATAGTCTATTGAGATACATTTCATTAGGCTGGGCAGACTATTTCCTTTCACAAGTGAATAATTCCTCAGAAGTACAGATCTCTTAAATGATTGCTTTTGGAGCTTTACCAAAATTTGTGGTGTACTTTTCTTATTTGCGGCAGGAGAGGAAATAATTACTTGAGAATATGTCCCAGGAGAGTAGCTGGATTAGTTCTTTTAGCAACAAAAAGTCAGTGCACTTTGGCATCTTGGAGACTAGCTAGATTATCAGGTATGAGCTTTCACCAACAATAGTTCATTTGGGCAGCAAAGTCCTGTATATGCATAATATTTGGTGTAGATTTATTTATTCTGATCAATAACCAGTTGGGATAATCTTTGATTTAGCCCCACTGAATACATTGGAATTTGCTTCTGAAAAGGCAGGGCAAGCATAAGGGAAAGGGAAAGGGAACCCCTGAGCCTTAGGTCTAGTCATGGACGACTCTAGGGTTGCAACACTCATCTCGCTTTACTGGCCGAGGGAGCCGGCGTACAGCTTCCGGGTCATGTGGCCAGCATGACTAAGCCGCTTCTGGTGAACTGGAGCAGCGCACGGAAATACCGTTTACCTTCCCGCCGGAGGCAGGGCAAGCCTAGAATTGCACTTTTACCAGATTCAAGAATGAGTTTTTGAATGTATAGGCTGAAAATTAAGGTCACATCCATTTCATTGGCTGTTTATGCAGGAAAAGCTCCCAGTACAAGTTTACGCCCTGTATTAACAAGGTGAGAACTAAAAAAAATAGAACAGACTATGATTTTTATAGATTTTATCTGTGGGCTGTTGGGCTGCTAAATGGAAAAAAATAGTAGTGCAATTGACTTCCGACAAGCCCTCAGAGCACGAATAAGACTTGAATGTATGGGGAGGGGGCTCGTTTAATTTCACTGCACACAGGCGGTGTAGTGACAATAAATGTTTGTTTGTTTGTTTGTTTGTTTGATTGATTGATGGAACACTGAAAATACCATGGAAAAATATGATGCAGTTGTGTGTGACATCTGAATGGTAAACAAGCAATCCTGTCTTGAGCTGCCTGCTAGTCCTTATACTAAATAAATTAGTTATTGCTTCCCCAATGAACATCAGATGATATTCTAGCTTTTTGGCAAATTTCTTAGAAGGCTCCAATCTAGAACAGGTTTGTTGTACTCGGGCTGCACTGAAATGAATATGACAAGTTGGTGCTTCAGATTAACTTAGGTACCATTAATTTTAATGGGTTGATGCATGATTTCTTCAGATGAGGGTCGTAATGTATCCATTTGAAAGTCGACGGGAACTGTAATTAGCATGAACTGTGGTTACGGATGAATGTTTGGTAAGCAAATAAAAGGGATTTCCAGCGGCACATTCACACTACTCTAAAAGCCAATTCCAGGCATTTGAAAAAGTGCCAGATATAAATCTCTAAAGTGTGGGGTGCAATCCACTGGGAGCAGTCAAATACAACATTCCTTGTTTTGCTAGAGTGGACATGCAAGGGAATGTTTGGTCCTCCAGCCAGTCGAAACTTCCTGTTCTTCCTGGCCTGTAGCCTCCTTCCTTGCATGTGACTAGTGGGATGGGTGTGACCTTCCTTTCCAGACCTGGTGAAAGGCCAATGCATGCTGCCACTCTCTCTTTTCCATCTTCTTTTCTTCCTTTGAACTTCCTGGAATGAACTGCTGGCTGCCAGCCACGCAGTCCCCCGGGTCATCTCCCTTATGGCATAAACCTGTTAGTATAAGCTTGTAACTTTAAACCTAAAGCCTGTCTTCAGGGATCACACTTTGCTCTGCCTGATCGTGAGTAAACTTCCTTTTTATTGCTTATGAATAAGACTGTGGTGTCTTTATTCTTTTAGGAGGGATTCAAGGGGTCTTACCAGGAAAATATTAGAACACATTTCAATCTGGACAAGCCAGATGGAATTACATATTGTCTTAAGAAACTCACACGAGTTTGCAGCTAGTTTTCTGCGTTAAAGGGGAATGTAAACTCTGCTAAGTAAAGGAACTTGCTAGCGCAAGTTAGGAAGGATATTAATAAACAATATATCCTCTCCTGCCACCCTGAACATTCACACATAAAGAAATAGCATTGTCCCTTAATATCTATTTTTATAGTACTACCGGTTACCTTTAGATCATTTGTGATATTAGCCAGGAATGAAGAGAAAGGGCTGTAGTTCAGTGGCAAAGCACATGTGTTGCAATTAAATGGTTCCATGTTCAAATCCTGATATCTTCTCTCCAGGAAATATTCCTGTTTGAAACACGGGAGAACCACTGCTAGCGTAGAACACTGGCTGGGACTGATGGGAGTTGGAAGCCCACAACCTCCCTTATTTCTAGAGCAGACAATACTGGAGAAAATGGACAAATGGTCTAACTCATTGTAAGGCATCTTCCTATGTTCTAGCTATGGGATTGGCCCTCTGAGCTAAGATTACAGTGGTACCTCAGGTTAAGAACTTAATTCGTTCTGAAGGTCCATTCTTAACCTGAAACTGTTCTTAACCTGAGGTACTACTTTAGCTAATGGGGCCTCCCACTGCCGCCGCACTGCTGCTGCTCAATTTCTGTTCTCATCCTGAAGCAAAGTTCTTAACACGAGGTACTATTTCTGAGTTAGCAGAGTCTGTAACCTGAAGCATCTGTAATCTGAAGCGTCTGTAACCCGAGGTACCACTGTATGTGTCATTTCCTGTCAATACACTTTCAGTGGTTTGTTTGTGTGCTAAATATCTCCACTCTATGCAGTTTCTAGTGTTGAGTTTCAGGTAGGGGTGTGTGTGTGTGTGTGTGTGTGTGTGTGGTAAATTTGGGAAAGGGGAAACTGATATAACCTAAAGTCAGTGTGATTTAGGTACGCATAATAAGATATAGGACTAGATTTTCTCGAAATTACTTTCACTAATAAAATAAATGATTTTAAAAAGAATTGTCATGATTCTAGCACAAAAGGTAAAGTGTGTGAATTTGTATGATTTTTTTTAAAGAATAAGTAGCAAAGTGCATTCACAGAGCCTATTCCTCTTTATAATATCTATTGTCTCCTCTATTGATATTGTTTTGTGGTGGTATTTTATGTATTGCATCTAAGACTGCAACCCTATTTACGCTAACCTGAGTTCAACAGTAAGTCCTGTTGAACGTAGTGTGGTTTACTTTTGAGTAAATATGCAAAAGCTACAGATACTGTTGGTACTTTTTTTTGTTTTACGAAAGCAGAAGAGGGCAGTATTACACAAAGCAAATGTTCAAAACAAAAAAAGAAAGAAAGAAAAGAGCTGGAACATTTCAGTCATGTAAGAGTAAACTGACACCATTGTCCTGCTTTGCAAATGATAATATATGATCCAAGCACAGGTATGCATCGCCTGACTATTTGTATTGTCCTTTGTTGGAGACTGGAAACTCTTCCTTGTTCATACTTCCGAGAGAGGAAAATTCTCCTGAGTGTTTCTTGTCTCAGAAATAACGAGATACTTTTGCTCATTTGACACCAGAGAATTGGTCATCATGTGGGAAACTATAGTAACAGAGTAATGCATCCACATATGTAGCTGGCTCCATGGTACTGTTCTCTGTATGTAAATCTCCAACCTGCCTACTTTGTCAAGAGGTTCACTAGTCGCAACAAAACCAGGAACTAGGGTGCAACCTGTAGCAGTTGATGCGATCTCCTTATGAAATTGCCATCAGCGGATCATGTGGAGCGCATGGGTGCACATTAATATAACACCATGTGACAGAAGCCGAGCAAATGAAAGGCAGCACTTCTGCGTGCCTAAAAAGTAGCTGTTTTATTTCATATCCAAGTGTGGCTTCTTGCATATGCCCTGAAATTGACCGTAGCTTGATAACAGGGGGCAGCTTCCTCTGACAATTAGCTTGTCCCCTCCACCTCCTTTTCTTCCTTCCTCACAATCACACAGAAACACACTTTGCCCCTTTTGTGCCTTTGCATCCCTCCCCCACTAGAACTGAAGAAGGAAGACAGAATCATTTTGCTACACAGTTCCAGCCCTATTGTTAGGCAGAATGAAGTGACCACCTCAGGTAGCAAATGCTTAGGGGCGGAGAAGGGTTATGTGCGGCAGGAGGACAAAGCTTTTTAGGTTACTCAGCCTACCCTGTGTAAACCTACTGCCGTCAAATGTGTTGTCTCCCTGCCAGTACTGAAGTAAAATTCAAGCGCCAATTCAGTTGGCCCTTGTATATGGAATGGTGGTGGTGTCACCCTCTCCTTTGCCTCAGGCAGAAAAATGGATTGGGTTGGCCCTGTTAATACATCAAGGGCAGTATCTTTCAGGGGTCAGATCCTGGTCTCTTCTATATGCGAAGCCTTGCACAATTGCAAAGATAGTTATTCTGAAATGAGCAGTGGATGTAGATTTCTTTATTAAAATGTACATTTCATTATGTCCTTAGCCTCTTGGCAGTGTACACTTTGAAAAACACAATATACATATTCTAAAAATATATCTGTACTGCTAAGATTACATAAGATTTATCCTTGGCTTTGTTCTTCTACTTCATTCAAACCTTCTCTAGTCATTTAAAAGCCAGTGTGTGTGTGGGGGGGAGGTTATTTCATTTCATTTCATTTATTATATTTCTATGTCACTCTTCACTTGCATGAGTCACAAAGTGGCTTTCATACAATAAATAATATCACTGAACATCACAATTGCAACATAAATCATATAAAATAATTAACAAATCATCAGTAAAACAACCACCTTCTGTAAAACACTATAAAACAGAACAACTTAAAAAATATGGTAAACAGCACAACCACAAAAAAGTCATGTTATAAAATTCACAAAGCATTACAGCACTCATAATCCACAAAGCAACATTAACAACATTAACAAACAACCAAAGCAAATTAAGCACTGTCGAATTCACACACATGCTTTCCCCATCCCCATGACTCATAGTCTTCTACTCATTTCATCAAATGTCCACAGCAGCAACATGCTTGTCCAGCTATTTTGTTGAGTAGCTTCTTATTATATCTTATCTCCTTCAGACAGACCACATGTTGTTGACGGACCAGGGCGCCTCTGCCTTTGCTAGAGGCATGGGAGTTCCTGAGGTTCCTGGAGAGAAACTGATCACAGAAAGGTCACTGGAGAGATGGAAGAAAAACCTTGAGGCTGATTCGAACCCTCAACAGTTTCAAAAGCAAGTATAAAATGTTGGGTGTTGGGGGCAAAATCCTGACCACATGAACAAATGAAATTAAAACATGAGGCTTCTCACGTTTCTCCTCCAACATTTCTCCAATGAAAATAGGGACACCCCATTCCATAATGATAATTTTACTGTTTATACCTCATCCCAGCCACACTGGGCAGCTTCTAACATATATAAAAACATAATAAAACATTAAGCATTTTTAAAAAAAACCCCTTCTCTATACAGGATTGCCTTCAGACGGCTTGGGTGTCAGATAACTGCACACCTTCCTACATTTTCCCAGTGAAAATAGAGACATCCTACCATACCCTCCAACATTTCTCCAATGAAAATAGGGACACCCTAAGGAAAAGTGGGACATTCCAGGATCAAATCAGAAACCAGGATGGCTTCTGTAAATCAGGGACGTCCCTGGAAAATAGAGACACTTGGAGGGTCTGTACTCAAGATGGCAATATGCAATCTTCAGATTCCAAGGCAGGATACTTCTGGATACCAGCTGCTGGGGAGCAGTAGTGGGGACTGGACTCATTTCCTGCTCGTGAGTTTTCCAGAAACTTCTGACTGGACTAGAAAAGGGGTTGGTCAAATCCAGCAGTACTGCTTAAAGTTCTCATAATATACCCCCCTATGCTGGTCAAACCTCTGCAAAACATCCATTATGATTTTACCTGTAGACATGCAGCTTGTGAAATTTGGCCTTCCCAAGGATGCATGCCCACCAGCTGTTCACTGCCTCTCTGGATTTGCTGCGCCCAGCCCGTATTCCCGTAGGCCACAATCCTATGCGTACTTACCTGGTAGTAAAAGCCTCATTGAACTCAACCTGCAGTCTTAATTTTTTGCTGGGAGCAGGGGAGGCAGCGCTGCATCTGAAGCCCTGATCTACTGATTAATTGAGGGTGGGGGATTCTTTCAATTGCACAGAAGTGCTTTAGGTTATTCGGTCACATCAATTGTTCAATTGAATGGTCTCCACTTTCTTTTATACTTGAAAAAGACTGGTCTTTCAGCAGATTAAGTGCAAACTCAGAAGTGCATTAACTCCCAATACAGTTTTTTATTTTTATGAATTCTTTGGACTGAAGATTTCCGTTGATTTTTCTTAATACTTGGGGAAATGCTACCTGTGAGACGCTATGTTCTTTTGGCAAATGCTCTCCAGTCTTCAGCTAATTGTTTGAAATGCTATTTTTGGCAGAGACCTTGGAACAGTTGGAGCCGTTGCTATCGACAGTGCAGGAAATGTTGCTTGTGCAACATCAACAGGGGGACTCACGAACAAACGCGTCGGCCGCGTTGGTGATACAGCGTGTATAGGTAGGGGAGTGTGATAAATGGAAGAAGAGCCAGGCCTTCCTTCCTTCCTTCCCTCTCTTTCTCATATAATATGTATGATATCAGTCAAATGCATGATAGCCAAGGCTATCAAATGCATGATAACCAAGGTTCTAAAGAACCAGTATGACGGCTTGCCGTTCCTATGGCAGCAATTCCTGCTGCCAAAGAGGCAAGCCACTTTTTAAAAAAGGAACAGTGAAAGTGGGAAGTGCTGGTGCAGAAACAGCAAGCAAAGTATCGGGCTTGCAGTGACACCCAACACTTGCATGCACATACAAACCCGAGTTTAGTGAACGGTATGTTTTCCTGAGATGATGACTGTGTAACTTTTACATCCTGTGCAATATACTTATACAGTATATAAGATGGGTAGGAAGTGGAAAGAGCAGGATTTGGAGATTGCTTGGTTGAATACACTGTGTTTCTCTTGTAGAAACAGGCTTACAGTAGTTCTTGGGTGAGGAAGCAGCAAGGGGTGTTAAAAGGAGCCCAGAGTATACAGTGGTACCTCGGGTTACAGACGCTTCAGGTTACAGACTCCGCTAACTCAGAAATAGTACCTCGGGTTAAGAACTTTACTTCAGGATGAGAACAGAAATTGTGTGGTGGCAGTGGGAGGCCCCATTAGCTAAAGTGGTACCTCAGGTTAAGAACAGTTTCAGGTTAAGAACAGACCTCTGGAATGAATTAAGTTCTTAACCTGAGGTACCACTGTATTTATAGACACATAAGGAAATTTGCACTGAGAACCTTCACTTCCTGCCTCCACTTGAAATTCCAGGAAGAAATCTATTTATCAATTCATAGACTTTGAAGGGGGGAAAAACATTGCTTTTGTTTTAAATTCTACTGACATTCAGGCCACCAGCAATAATTACTTGTAGATTGAGAACCAGTGTAAACTTAGCATGCAGATTCAACGATGGCTTATTAGCAAATATATCATCTGTTTACTATGCAGCTGATCTAAACTTTAGTTTTGCAATTTGCAAGCTGAAAGTCAATAATGTGTGTGTAAAATACTTCTCCCCAATACCACCAAATAACAGGTCTTTGCTTAACTTTAGTAAATTTTCGTTCATTTTGTTTAGACTGCGTTTTGTTTAAACAAGGAGGCATATATGTTGGGTCTGGAGAAAGGACAATTTAAAAAGCAGATGGTTGTCCAGAGTGCAGCACTCCTGAGATATTAGGAGCACCATGTTAACATTGTTCAGTCATTAGCATTCTCCTGTTAGAAGATTTTGCTTGGTAGTTCAGTGTAAGTAGGCAACCCTCAATAGAGTGGTGTAACATCTTTCAAACACCATCCCTTCTTGATATGTTTTGAAGATTCCCCCAAATGTTTAATAGCTCCATTAGCTATTGCAAGAGAGGAAACAATTCTCTAGATATCCATCCACAAGAAACATCTTAAGAGTTTATTCATATTTTTCTGCCTTGTCATCACTAGGTCTACCACTTGACCAGCAAATCAGTGTGCCAGTTCCAACAATTCCAGCGTGGTTATATCTGAAATGATATTCTGCTTAGTTGAGGTTCCAATTGGCTGCAGTGATGCCTGTTGTGGCTTACTTTCATGAACTAACTCATCAGTGTAGCAAGTAACCTTACCAGTGCTGCTAGCCACAGGGTGGTACCACACTGATGACGTGTACTTACCACACTATCCCCTCAGCCCTCATAGAAAGTTCATCTGAACACTAGTGGAACTATGGTGGTACCTTGACCATCTGGAAGAGATTTTTTGGTGGTCAAGTTACCCAGCAGTAATTTGACTTCAGGAGTAATTGACACTTAATCCTTACCAATTAACATTGTATTATTGAAGTGCAAATGAACCCTTGCTCCATATTATTACCGTAGTTAATTCCATTGATGTAGACCAGGGATGTCCAAGAGGTTGATCACGATCTACTGGTAGATCCCCATGAGGTTTTGGTAGATGGCAGTTGATTGCTGGGTCCCTTTACTTAGCGTTGGTAAAATAGATTCCAGCCCTGCTCCCTCGCCCTGGCCTCCATTGTTGCACGATTTGCAGAACGGAAGATGGAGTTTACTTAGTGAGGCTGTTTGTTTCTGCAGCAATCTGTTGTTGAGTGGCTGTTCCCTTTCTCCCTTGAGCTTAGACATTCCTTTTTTTTTAAAGGGGTAGATCCCTGCCAGTTTTTAATTCTGTGAGTAAATCGCAGTCTCTTGGGAGTTGGCCACCCCTGATGTATTGTAGACACAAAGTGTACGCCACTTGGGTTCTTCTGGTTCACATAAGATGGGTTGCTTTTGTAACAGGCTTATGTGCAATTGGATATATCCTTGTAGTTGATTTGAGATGTTGAGTACTGTAAATGCAAGTCCTTGACTTTTTACTTTTTGCTCTTTGATCAGGAAGTGGAGGTTATGCAGATAACAATGTTGGTGCCGCTTCTACTACAGGCCACGGAGAGAGCATTATGAAAGTGGTTTTGGCAAGACTTATCTTGTATCACATGGAAAAAGGTAACGACAAAGGTTGCAAAGAGCACAGAACTGCTACTGTATTCCTGACAGACGTTGGTGGGAGTAGGTTGTGGTCCATTAGTTAAAAGTTGAGGATGCATACCGAGAAAGTTATTTGAATAGTAGTCAAATGTTGTGATCGGTGGGGGGTTGTGTCCAGATAATTTAAACAATGAACCTTCTGCAGGCTCAATTTGTGCTACTCCTGATTCAGTGGCACTGGAGCAATATTGTGCTGGTGGGCAATGAATAACAAACAAAAATTATTTCATAGTTGCCTGCAACAAAGTGTTGATTGCTTTGAAAAGCTCAAGTACAAAAAAACTATGGCATCTTAGCGGTTGCATACCAAAAACAATAGGCTTTTAACTGTTGAAGGGAGTGGGTTGTTGCTGATTAATCTTATAAAACCCTTTAAAGCACCACCAGTTTCTCTAACTTCTATGTTAAAAAGGAAGCCATGTGAATGAAAATAAGTAGGCTGGTCTATGTATTGATTTGTGTATATTAAGTAAAAGTGTGACTATGGTAAATAGCTGGCAACAAGGTGTTCATGTGGCTGTAATATAATCAGGCTATGGATGACTCTAGAGAGCTTTGCCTTCTATGTTATCCAAACTCTCGATTTATATTACAGCCGGTAAACATAATCAGCTGACCTACTTCTCCTGAATACACTTACAGTTGCCAGCGTGACCAGACCACCTTCTTTATTCTAAGCTGTAGTTGCAGACTGCAGATCGGTAGGATCGTCATTTAACTTCTGACACAAAACTTCAAAGAATTTTAGAGTCATATATGCAGAGGAACTGTTAAATGGAAAAGGTGGAAATTCCATTAGCATTGTATAAAATAAGTTCCAGGGAGGTTATCTGCAAATCTCAGGTGTGTAAATGTCATGGCATAGGGATCTTTCACCTCTATTTCAGCATCCTTAACAAATGGCTTGTCACTCTGACTTAATCTACTGATAGAAAGAGTTACTGTATGAATCTGGTTTTTGGGTCAAATGCACCCCAAGACATTAAGACATTAAGCCAACACCATTTTCAAGTAAGGAATCGTGTCTTTATTGAGATACTTCACTTTTCCAGCTGAACACTAGTTGCAAAGAAATCACCAGGGCCAACAATATCCAATAATATAAAGGACAAGCATCTACAAAAATCGTATGTGGGATCCGATTGCTTCACAGTTGTTTAAAAACATAAAACAATATATTGCTCCATTACAAGTGTAACGGGAATAATCATGAGTTGTGAATTACTTGCAAAAACAAATCGTACAGAACTTGCAACCACAGTACAGTACTTGCTAATTAGGCAGCCTATACACAATCACCACATTTCACAACTGCATGAGCAGGCCAGACAAAACAGTTACATGAAGCATATTTTTAGTGTGTTGACCACAGAGATGATTCCTGCCCTCTTTTCAGCAGGAAAGAAAGCAGTGGTTGGCTCCACCAGTTCTTTCATAACAAAGGCAAATTGGTTATGTCACTGAATTTGATCAACTCCAGGCTAGAACTGTAAGGAGGAGACTTTTTGGAGTGTTCACTCCATTGTGGGTTGTTTAGCTTTTAAATATAGGCATCAAAGCAGGCAGTGTCTGCTACATTTGAAAACCAAAAAAGTACCCTTGGCGTTTGGAAATGTAGATGGAGGTCACACTTGTCCATACCACCTTTAGTCTTATTAAAATAAAGAATGATCTCTTTCTTGAAGGCACTGAAGAAAGGGGAATCTACAGTTGATTACATCCTTGCACTCTTGCTTGATTTTGGAAATGTGCACAGTAGCTTTCAGCCCCTCCTAACCATGCTACAGAATTCAGGCTGCACAGTACTACAAGTGAAGAGCAGGTGCTCCATTGAAGGGTAGAAACTGAATGATCCTTTTTGCAATAGTTGGAATGTCTAAGCGTTATTATGGCAGCTGTTGCCTGGATGAAAATAATCCTTCCTGTTAGTGTTTATAAAGGCTGGGCTTTGGTTTCTAAGCATGAGAATAGTTTCCATTCTGGGGTATCTGGGTTTTGTTTTTATGAGGAGGAAGGGCAAAATCTTAAAGCAGTTGTTATGCTTGTCTGAGTTACAATATGACACCTGATGCATTTGTAATACTTAAGACCGAATAATATACAATGCACTGGTGGATCTGAGATAATAAATTGTGGATAACGACATGAATTTTATTTGGCTTGTTTGCTATGCACATGCACACAAAACGGGTTTTGTTTACAGGGCATCATGTCATCGTTAAAACTGATTAAATGTTGCTGCTGTCTCTGATGACATGCTTACATTGTACACTTGAACTAAACAATGTCTGAAGGTCTCGATTTGCTGACCTACCAAAAACATATATGGATATATATAAAACAACAGTGACAAAATAATCCCACAATGATACTTTGGTTTGTATTGGGATTCAATTATATCATAAATCCTGGTGATAAAGATTATCAATGTCCTTTGAATTTTTTTCTTGCCAATTTACCAACAACTAAAACAAATCCGGCAGGAAGGTAAATGGTGTTTCTGTGCGCTGCTCTGGTTCGCCAGAAGCGGCTTAGTCATGCTAGCCACATGACCCGGAAGCTGTACGCCGGCTCCCTCGGCCAATAAAGTGAGATGAGCTCCGCAACCTCAGAGTCGTCCATGACTGGACCTAATGGTCAGGGGTCCCTTTACCTTTAAAACAAATCCATATATAGGAGAGAGCACATTTGAGGGCCAGACAAAGCACAGAATGGTTTCTATGTTGTTGTGCTCCATGATACAATTAGGCCCATCAGTTGTATTTATCACCTTTTATTTCCCTTTCTTTTTAGCAAAGGAAAGAAATAGAAAGTCATTTATGGTATTTTGTCTATCATTAGAACAGCTGACTAATGGAACTCAGTTGTAGAAAGGCTGTGGAATCTCCTTCATTTTAAGGTATTTAATAAGAGCTGGAGGAATGATTCTCAGGTATAGTGAACATAGTTAGAATTTGGACTAGGGGGCCATAAACCATCTGGCTTTGATTCGGTAAGTTGGTGTACTATTCGCAAAGAGAGTTTTGCAATGTCTTGTTGGAGAGGGGTCAGGAATTCTCTGATACATCTTTATTGATTGTTGGGATCTAAAAGGTTTCTTAGATTTACACAAGGGGATTTGGTTATCTCTGTAGAATTCCCCACCACCACCACCAAAAAACAACAACCCAGTTTTAACCTGTGTTTGAAACACTTGTTTCAAAAGAAGGTTGGTAGGCCACTGTTTGAGTAAAAAACAAACCTAATGACCTCTTATACTCATGGAGCTACTCACGTACTTTTGGGATCACGCCCACCATGTTTAAGAGATATTATATGGATGAATTGTAGCTGCTGCAAAAGCCTGTTATTGGCTAATCTGGAAAGATTCAAGGCTACCCTTTCAGCCTGAATTGGTTTGCTCAAAATTATTTAATTTCTGACGTGTTTTTGAACTTTCCCCCCCAGGAAAATCACCAGGAGATGCTGCTGACTCTGCCCTAGATTGCATGAAAACTAGAGTCGGGGGATTGGGTGGTGTCATTGTGATCAGCAATTCAGGAGACTGGGCTGCACGATGCTCCACCCAGGAGATGTCCTGGGCTACAGTCAAGGATGACCAACTGCACTATGGCATTCATGCTGGGGAGTGGCACACACAACCTGCCGAAGAAGCTATTGGCTCCCGGAGATGCTAAGCAGAAGTGAAGGAAGTGGAAGTAACGCAGCACAATCAAGATTATAGACCTTTGTCGGAAACTGAATCTGTTGTCCCCTTTCTGAAAGGACCTTCTCACCAAATTCCAGTTCAGATATTCACAGTGCTGGTCTTTTTGCAGCCAAGCTGAAATCTAGAAGGAGACATAGTGGGCTTAAGGATGGCTTTTGTGAGCATATATAAGCTATCCAAAGGTTTGCTTTCTTAATCACACAACCTAATTGCAGAAAGTCACTATGCACATCCTCAGTGGGGTGTATTTGATGAGATATGCAGTCTTCACAATGGCCATTATATTGAAGGCAGCTTCTCCTATAATGTGATTATGCTTGGAAACCAGTGTCCATGATAGACCAAACGTAGTCTGGTGTCCCAGATCACACTTTTGCTTTTATCTTATGTGCCCATGTCACAGTCCTCTGTATCCCTCCATCACGCCTCCCTTGAACTGCTCACCTGGGCCCACTCACACCTCGCCTGCCTCTGTCTCTGTCCTCTGGATCTCCCCTGAGCCAGTGTGGTGTAGTCCATCATGCCTCCCTTGAACTGCTCACCTGGGCCCACTCACACCTCGCCTGCCTCTGTCTCTGTCCTCTGGATCTCCCCTGAGCCAGTGTGGTGTAGTGGTTAAGAGCAGTAGACTAATAATCTGGTGAACCGGGTTCGCGTCCCTGCTCCTCCACATTCAGCTGCTGGGTGACGTTAGGCTTGTCACATTTCTCTGAAGTCTCTCAGCCTCACTCACCTCACAGAGTGTTTGTTGTGGGGGAGGAAGGGAAAGGAGATTGTTAGCCGCTTTGAGACTCCTTAGGGTAGTGATAAAGTGAGATGTCAAATCCAAAGTCGTCGTCTTCTCTCCTACTCCTACCCACCTTTCCTGGGCCACTTGCCTAGGTCATTATCCTGCCCATCTTCCAATTCCCTCGCCTAGACCTGCATCTCCATCCTCTGGATCCCTTCTACTCGCTTTGCCTTGGCCGTCCACCCTGCTGCTTGTAGTGCCACCTGTCTGTGGTGAAGTAAACTGCAGCATAATAACAACCATATGGTTTTATATACTGGAGGGAAAATCTTAGAATCTTAGAGTTGGAAGGGACCTTGAGGATCATCTAGTTCCACACTCTGTTCATTTCAGGAGCATTTGTTATGTAAACTTTGAGAAGAACTGGGATGATCATAACCATAGGTTACTCCCAAATGCTGTAACTGAAATATTAAGAAATTTGCTTACATTTTTTTCCTACTTATAATCAGTACAGAAAAGAAAGCAGGGACATCATAATTCTCATGTTTAGGGAAACATGCGAAAGAATTCAAAGTTTTGTTTTGAGATAGCAGACTTTCATTTGATTGTATGACAAGTCAAAGGCCAAGTCAAATAATATGATAGGTGTCTTTCTTGAAGTGGTATATTAATTGCAAGAATAAGCTGCTGTGCATAAAGTTGCACTAGTGTTTATATGGTAATATGTTTTTTGAGGTATTTATAGAACCGAAATAGAAATTTACAGAGTGAAATGTATTTTCTCATTATAATACTTACAAGGAAGATGCTTCATTTTTAGACAAGGTATTTGTAATTTATCCCTTGCTTTTCCTTTTATTCTTTTCATACTAATGTAATTCAGTAATTTAAGTCTTATTTAGATATTGCCTTGATCCCATACCACGTTTTCCATCTGGGAAATAATCAGTGCTATGTTGATGCACAACATGTTCTTATGAAAATAAATGCCAATAAAATCTAGTACAGTGTATTTTAAAAGTAGACTACTCATGCATGCTTTATGGCTCAAGTGTATTTTTTAGCTAATCAAATTTCCATTAAATGACACACACACACACACACACACACATGCATTTTCTTGCAGAACAACAAGAATAGATTCAAGTTTACTGTTGATAAGCCTTTCACGGAAGCAAAAATAATACTGTGATTTTAAAAAATTGAATATTTACAGCACATGGCTGGAGTACTCCTTTTATCTGTGAAATATCAACAGCCATTTCTTTAAGTAGCAAATTCCCCCTTCCCACTCTATTAAAATATTCATTTTTAAAATTAAGGCAATTATTTTAATTGTAGAATCTGTGGTGTAACAGTTCATACTTTTAACAAGATATCCTCATAATGGGAGAACATACCTTTCCTTGCCTTTGGATTTGTTCAACTTTGAGAGGCACCATTTTAACAAAATATGAGTTGGAGGGCTGCTTCTAAATTGCACTAGAACAAATAAACATGATACCTCTAATTGGGGATGTGCCTCTGCCGTGCCTTTCAAGAACCAGCCCTGTCAGACTTGCGTCACATCTCCCAAACAGTCACATCCTCCCTAGTGACAATGCCTAATGAATTCCTAGGACAGGCCATTCCTTACATTCATTTAACTTGGCAGTCATCCAGCATGGTTGCTGTTGTGACTTCTTGGCTTGACTTGCTGATCCGGGGCGGGGGGGGGCATGCATTCCCTCCCTGCAAAAGTTCAGCTTCCTGTCTATCCTCATAGTTCAGACTACAGTACACAAAATATCTGCATGCCCCCTCCCTTGGGACACTTGCCTTTTCTTGCCCTTGTTTCCTTCTTTATCTGCCCCCTCCCCTTCCCTCCCTTTCCCCAGCAACTTGCTTTTAAACCTTGGAAATATTGCAAAAGCAGTTTCTGATCTGGCATGCTGGTGTGGGCGGGTGAGTTCCATATTGCTGTGTCTTGCTGCATTCTTTAGTCGATGTTCCATGGCAGAATGCCATTTCACTCATGGTTTAGAAAATAAAACATTGCGTAAGAGGTTGATTTTTTCCCTTAAATTTCCCACTAGCCAATATATAGATGGAGGGAAATCTTCACAAAATAATTAAGGGGAGAAAAATGTATTTCTGATTCCCTCTGCCCTGCTCACACACCCTCTCCTCCCCAGTTTTCACATGTCTTGGCTCTGCCTCTTTGCTGCTGGATTCTGTACTACTGTCAGATTTTTGCCTTTTAAGACTTAAGAGACTTAGGATATCACCATGATTTGCTTTGGAGTCTCAGGCTTTGGGATCGAAGACTTGGTAACCCTGTTCATGAGTGAATTCGCAAGATACTTCATTTTTGTTTGATTTATATGACATAAATTTCAGTGGGTGGTTAATTAATAAATAATTCCTGGTGTGACTCAGATTGCACTGCTGTTCACGCAACATCACAACAGGTACAAAGGTAAGGAAAAGAGGAGAGGAGGGGAAATCCTATACATGTTTTTGGACATACCTAATGAGTTCCCTGGTGTTCTGTAGTTCCTAAATCTATTGGCAGGAGGATTAGGAACTGACTTGACTCAATAAGCATCCTAGAATTACCCTTTCTGCTGAACTTTCTGGATTCAAACTGTATTTGATTGCATTGCAGATCCCTCTTTCACTCACTCTCTTCAAAGGTCCCATTTTTTTTTGCACTTACCAATGAATTATCAGCGCCTTGCTGTGTTGTAAATAAAATGTGTGCATCAGTTCTCGAGCTCACACTTCTGACCCTTTATCTCTACGGCTTCACTTAGAGTTTAAACCATGTAATGCATTGTAGCATGCAGCTCATTAAGTACTTGGGTGCACTCAGACATAAAGAGCATTGCCCATTATGCATGCCTGGCAACATAGCAAGCTATCTGCTTAGCAACACCGACCCTCACAGAACCCGTTGTTCCAGTGTGGAGGACCTTGCTGTATATTTTGCATAATTCCAGTTTAATTGGAATAGTTATGGTGTGGTGTATGAACTAAAGCACAGCCAGTGGTCATCCTCCATTACTTGGTGGCAATAGATCATTTAGCCTTTGTGTTTGTTGTGCATTCATGACATCATCTGGTTATGGCCCAAAGTATACAGCAGATTTTATTGCCGTTTTAATATTTTTGGTGGTGGGCTGGATTAGGGCCAGCAAATGTGAGTCTGAATCTGGGCAAGATGGAGGCTCTGAGGGTGGGTGGCTCCCAAGTCCGGATCATTGGTCAATTGCCTGCTTTGGACAAGGTCATACTTCCACTGAAGGATCAGGCTTATAGTCTAGGGGTGCTCCTAGATCCAACTCTGTTGCTAGAGGCCCAGGTGACCTCAATGGCTATGAGCTTCCACTGGTAAAACAGCTGCGGCCATTTTTTGACTGGGATAACCTGATTACCGACAATCATGCACTGGTAACCTCCAGATTGGATTACTGCAATGTGCTGCCTGTGGGGCGGCCCTTGATGTTGGTCTGGAAGCTGTAGCTAGCGCACTGGGGCAGGCTGTATTGCTCCCATGTGTTCCACCCCTACTACAGATTTCCACCAGCTGCCAATTAGCTACTGGGCTAAATCAGCTAGGAATCTTGCCCTTAGTGTGGTAGAATGTACTCTTCAGAATTCCCTTGTTACGTAATAGACCTCTACCATCATGCCTTTTAAGTGGATATATTTATTCCAGTCCACATCTACATTGGAACTATTTTAAACTTTTTATACGGAATTGTTTTTAATTTTTTGTTTTGTTTCATAGATGTAATTTTTGTTTTTATAATTGTATGTTTTATTGTTATAACCTCTCATGCAGGCATAGGGAAACTCGGCCCTCCAGATGTTTTGGGACTACAACTCCCATAATCCCTGACCACTGGTCCTGTTAGCTAGGGATGGTGAGAGTTGTAGTCCCAAAACATCTGGAGGGCTGAGTTTGCCTATGCCTGCTCTCATGGGACCCTATGGTAAAGGGCAGGTAAAAAATAAAATCTAATAAAATCAATCAATCAATCAATAATGAAAATCAAATCTGTACCTCAGCATCTCCTATGTTGCTAGAGGAAACAATTGGATCTTTGCAGAAAGCTAAAGTCATTACAGTAGCTTGCAACCTTTCAACAAACATGTAGAAAGTGAATGTTCAGAATCTCAGAAACTAATGAAGTTACAGTGTTCCCTTTAACTCAATCAATGGAAAGTTGCTTTAGAATCTATAGGTAATATTTCTTTAGGTTTAAAATTGAGATTGATTCCACAAATATTGATGTTCTGAGCATATTGGATCCCACAGCACCTTCATAGGAAGGAATTGGTTGGTTCAGATAGATGACAGGACTGAGACAATAAAAGGGCGAAGCCTCCCTTTAGGACTATATCAACTCAAACTAGAAGACAAATGCTCGCACTTGTATAGTAGTGGTATTTAACTCTCAGAAGAGTCTCACTCATTTTTAAAACATCTGTGGCAACCTGTTGGAAGGGCTGCCGAGATTTGGGCCGAGATGCGGTGGAGTTATCAAAAGGTGCAAACATTTTGGGTTGCGATGTTCTCAAGAAATGGAAACCATTACCAAGCAGTCCATAGGTATATTACCCCACTTAGCGTTATTGACATTGATGTGGCTAATGCAGACCTAAACTGCAAAGAATTGAATGGGCCACTTTTTAATGGCAGCACGTGTAGTGAAAACCCTGGCCTGAAAAGCACTAGAATAAATTTATTTAGACAAATGGTAGGGACAGGTATGGCAAATGGTCATCCTGGAAAAGTTGAGCCATGTTATGAAGGTGTCTTGAGGGCAAAATAAACATGAGAAATATTGGGTGGTTGGGCAAAACTTTATTGTGTCCACAAATCATAGGGAACACAGGCAGCCATTTTGCCTTTTGTTCTGTTTATGAAATGGATAAGTAATGAAAATGCTGCAAAACAATTTCAAAACTTTGGTACTGGTTTGGAGTGAATCGGAGAATGTTGGATTTCTGGGTGTTAACTGGTTTAATGTACCAATTACTCTGTTTGGGTAGGTGCTGCAAAATGTGGGGATCGCACTGCAAAACACTGCAAAAAGACTGCAAAACTTTGGCGTTGGTTTGGAGAGGATCCCAGATTTCAAGGTTCATAGTTGATGAAGCTGTATGGCAGTATGTATTCGCCTTGAGTGAACAATACTGACTTCAAAATAACCTGTTTCAATAGTATGGGGAACATAGAATGTGTCTTTTGAATGAGGAACTTTAACTTTTATTTCTCAGTGTCTCTCCAAACTAGAAAACAATGGGAAAGGGAGAGGAATGGTTGCCATTGCCCTAATTTTCAAGTGTGTGTGTGTGTGTGTGTGTGTGTGTGTGTGTTTGTAAATTCCTCCCTTGGGCCTTCAGAATGACATTTGACTGCATGAAATATATGCATAAATGCTGAATTAGCATTTGTAAAAAAGGATTTGTAAAAGGAGCCTCTGGAAACATCTACATTTCAAACTAAGATAGACAGTGGCAGAATTGTTGAAGAAGCTATTGCATTGTAATCATCTGTTAATTAAGAATAGTCACAAAACAGCTATGATTTCCATTTATTTAACAGCTTGAGACCATCTTCTTGCTAGCTTCAATTGGAACAATGTGTAAAATAAAGTAAAAAATGGTGACTGTTCATTTGCTTCATGAACAGGTCAAACAGTAGTGTGTGTGTGGTTGGTTGTTTTTATTAAAAAAAAACTGAAACAAAAACCCTGCTACATGCAGTAGCTCTACGTTTGTTTGTCTGAGAGCCAAAGGCGTACTGAATTTGTGATCACCCGAAAAGAAGTTTCCTTAGCAATTACAGGCATGTGAAAGTCAAAGCTTCCTTTCCTCCTCATGTGACCTTTTCCCCAACCAGTTCAATAGCAATGAATTCCAAGCACCCACGGCGTTCATGAATTGATAAACAATGCTTTGTCAAGTAGTCCAAGCATTTCTGCCTTCATTACTGTGAAATTAGAGTTTTATTCTCTCTCCTACACCCTTCCAGACTCTTAACACGGTCCACAAGCGCATTTTCTTTTGAAATCAAATAGCACCAAGCATGCAAATATATGTGTGGGAAATGTCCAAGCACGTGGGGCCTAAAAGTGCCAAACTGCTAGCTGGATTGCGCCTCTGCTATTTCTTACCAATCACTTGGCATGTGTTCCATCCTCTCCTGTGCAACATTCAAAGTCAACATAGGACTAAGCTGCTGGTGGAATCTGTTTTGTCTTGCCTTGCGAAGTGGATAGAGCACAGCTGGTGCTGCAGTCGCTTTGACCCCTGTGCTTGTAACTAACAGACCTTACATACTCCACAGGGAAGAGGCGGTTGGTTGCTGAAGAAATAGCAATAACTACTTTCAGGACAGCGTTTCTCCTCCTACAACAGCATTAATAGTTAAAGGGTTTCATGGTAGGACACTTGGGTCCTGCACTGCACTTCTTCGATTTAAATTTAACTTCTTTGCTTGAAAAGGCAACTCCAGTTCACAGATTAACAGAAACAAAATACAGGGTTGGGGGTGTCGTTTGAAGCTTTTATTGGAGATCCCTGCTAGATAGATATTTTGAGCTCAGGCCCCAATGCACTAGAAATCTAAAGCAGTATCCTACCACTTTAAATGGACATGGCTTCCCCCAGAGAATTCTGGGACCTGTGGTGCATTAAGGCTGTTGAGACCCAGGCCACTAGGCTTTGTAATATTTAGTAAGCTGTGCTGGAGAATGGCGTATGAAATAAGGAGCGGAGTAATCACCTCCTGAGCTGTTTGCTTTACATGCAAGGTGTGCTACACTTTAAAAAGGTACCGTATTTTTCCGTGTATAAGATGGTGTTCTTTGCCTCCCAACAAAGTCAAAAATTGGGGGTCGTCTTATACACGGATGGTGAATGCACAGGGGCTCAGATTCAGACTCTGGTGCGAGTAGCCTGGGCTTGGGTTCGAGCTCTGTCGCGGGCAGCCTACCAGGCTCAGGTTAGGCTTTAGGATATACAGAAGCATCGGAGAGTGGGATGGAGTCAGAGGAAGACCCTGCTGAGGTAAGGGTTGTCATATTCCAAAAAGTGAAAATCCAGACACAGAAGTTGTTGAGAACGTGCTTGTATGTGTGAAAAATGACATTAATGTGTTGGGGGGTTTTGTGCTGATAGTGCAGAATGACACGTCTATCTATCAATTGTCTGGTAGAATTTAATAACATGTGACTTGTGTTATTAATGGAGAAACATGCAACCCTCCGGTCTTCTGAGTCTGTATTACTAGTACCTAAAGAAACAGCTCACACAAAGCAGCCTCTTTCCCTGTCATGTTTCTTTTAAAAGAGCTATTGTTAAAGTGCTTCATTCTGGAGTGCTTTGATTGTTGTGTTATGTACAGAACACTGTAATTAATTTAACAACAGGTCCTTTGAAGGTCAAATTGCCACTTTGAATATCAATGTGTCCAATGTACTGAATGCATTTAGGGGCACTCTTTATATCTTGCACCTCTCCTAAAGTGTCTGATATATATATATATATTGGGTCACTTGTGGAGCAGTTGACCAGGGATATTCAGTTTTCTTAAATGCAGTTTTCATATTTCACAATGATTTGCAAAGGTAAATATATACATTTAGGAAGGCACAACAGTAGACATATTATGCTTTTGGATGACACAGAATAGACAAAATTGTGCAAATTTATTTATTTTTATTTATTAAATTTGTATCCCACCCTTCCTCCCACAGGAAATACCATTCCAGTACAGATGCAGATGGGGAAAGCTGTCAGTTGAAAAAGCTTGTTGAAAGAAATTGGTGTTACGAGTTTGGAGGTGCTAGACTCACCAAAAGTCCTTGGTACGGTAGGGGTTAGAATTTAATCAATACTTGGGGTCTTAAGTGGGTTGCCAGACACAGGGTTTAGTGAGTGTTAAAATATAAGGCTGGCCAGTTTCCCAGCAGGAAACATGGAGAACCATTAATGTAGGTAATGCTTTATAATGGTCCTTTGGCAAATCATAGACCCTGTGCCAGATGCCTTTTAGGAGGGGCTTCCAGATCTGAGTTAGTTAGAAAGACAAAGACCAGGGTTTGATGTGGAGCAGTGTTTTTCAGTATTGGTCTTGATGTGAGCTGAAGGGAAAATGTAGCAGTCTGTAAAAGTCAGCAAGCTGCAGAGAGTCAGATCCATGTCTGGTGTCTGTTTGGATCCAAGGCTGAAGTTATGGGAGGAAGCAGAGCTGCTTGGGGTGTTAATGCTGTGAACCCCTCTATCATAGGCTCAGGTTGTATATATGTGTAAGGAAACCATATATCCTAAAGACACCACAGACTCCGCTGTGCCTCATTCCCATAAGGCAGGGGTGGCCAACTCCTGAGAGACTGCGATCTACTTTCAAAATTAAAATCTGGCAGTGATCTACCCTTGTTTTTTAGGGGTTCAGGTCAAAGTCGTGGAAGCATTTTGCCTCACAGCAATAACTCCGTCTTCCGAGATCAAGAGAAAAACCAGGCAGGGGAGAGAGGGCGGGGCCAGGTGCTCTTAGGCAAAAGCAAAGGAAAATGAGCCAGTGATCAACTGCAACCTCCCAGGGATCGACCAGTCGATCCCGATCAACCTGTTTGGACATCTGTGCTATAAGGAAACATGGACCCTGAGAAAGCATGCCTGGAATCCCTGAACCCTCACATTGCTCAGAGATTGGGGTGGCATGCAACAGTGGTCATCTTTGGTATGATGTCAACATACTAAATATGTTTGTGTGTAGCACTTATCCCTTTTAATGGCACATAGTACTGATACGTACAATGCTTGTGTTTTGTTAAAATTTTGACAAGAAGTATAATCTCTGGCAGGAGTCCAGTCATTTTTTCCTGACCATAAGATCTCTGCTTTGCTGCTTTCTTGAATACAGAACTATGCTTGTCCAACTCATAGCCATAACAAAAACAGCTTCATTTCCAAAAGTCTGAAAGTTAGTATTTGTGTAAACAGAAATCTTGCATCAACTGTTTTAGTCCCATGAAAAGTGGGAGACTATATATAGCATGTGACTTTGCTGATTAATATTTATATGCAAACATACTTTGCAAAACAGTACCAACATGACAGGAAAGAGACTGCTTTGTGTTAAAGACTACCAGTGACAATATGCAAGCAATGTTTTTGAACTTAGTCCCAAGGTCACATTTATGAACCTTGTTTTATCCCAAATGGGGTCCATGTGGACTATTTTTCCTCTCTGCTTTCATTTTAATTATGTAGCCACTCTTTTAAACAGTGACCACTGTTTCCTCTTAGTTATTTGTCTGGCAATATACCAGATATTGCCAGATATTCCAAATATCTACTGGAGAACTTTCAGCGTGTACTGTAAGCAGGTGTGACTTAGTCCTCTTCAAATGAACACATAATAGATACAAGCACACCCCCAAGAGTGTTTGGAGTTCCAACAATGCATACAGATTTATGCAGGGATGCAGACATATAATGTTTTTGTTAAGGTATTCTAATGTGGAAATAACCATAATCCGGTAGTCACCAGTTCTGCAAACATTTATTGGGGGGGGGGGGGAGGCTGGTAATTGTGGGAGTGCAAGTGCCCTGGAGATCAACCTGTAAAACTGAAGAAACTGATACTTTTCAAATACCATTCAGTGTCTTTTGCTCATTAGCAGTGTAATGTATGCAGTCTTAATTAAATCTATTCAAGCTTGCGTACTGAATCAGAAAAAGAGTGTATTTCCTTTCCTGGCCTCCTACGCAGCAACTCTGATGCAACTTGTATGCCTAGTTTTTCAAAAGTTTTGTTTAACCACTTCTTTTCCTTTTGTTCCAGTTTTTCCTCACTGCACCATCGCTGTGAAACACTTAGTGGACGATGAATTATATTCACAAATCATGTATATATGCATGTGAGCTCAAGTCTACTGCCTACTTTGTATTTGCGTGGTGACTTTTGGTGGCAAATGTATCATCACTTCTTCATCTCATTGCTGCAAAGAAAATAAGTAGCTTATGGCAGCAGATTTTATTAAGTAACAACTCATGTTAATTAAGGAAGGAATAAAGCGTCTTTGACATGGAAAGTTCCTTGCTGTCTGACTTATTAAAGGACAGGTCACTCCGCTGAATATTCTATCATTCTAATTTCTGCAACATAACTGTAATAAGAAATGGTGGTTACAAGCTTTGGAAACAACACATTCAATACTAACTTGTACTTAAAGTGTTGTACACAAGCTTTTACCTTAAAGCATTACTGATTACAAATCAGTAATGCTGTTGGTTCTGTGAACAAAAATTTGCATGGATTCTGTCAAGTTGTTGAGGTTTATTATCATGGAAACAAATCCTATAGCTTTGGAAGACAGAAGTCAAGATCAAATAATGTGTATTCAGGCAACAGAGGTTTCAAAATGTTTGACAGTTTGGCCATATGAACCATTGTTCCACTTTCCTCTGTTGGTTTGACGTATTAAGGTACTACTAACACCCTCTTCACTCACAACTCCAGCCATATGGGTGCCACTTTCCCATAGTGCCCTCTCATGTAACTGAGATATGTTTATGACTGTTGCAATCATGTCGGTTTTTCCACACCGAATTAACATCCTATCAGGACAGTGGGTAATACCCACATGATCTGGACTGCCCACATTTGCTGGATCTACACACATACTACAGCCACAGAGAGAACCACAATGACCTGATTTGCACAAGACACCAAACCATGTTTATTAAACAATGGTTTATCAAACCATGGTTTGCCTGAACTCTTTAATGTTTAATGCCAACCAACCACAACCTGAAGCTATGGTTTACTGCTGGCTTGTGAACGTTGGTTTAACTATGGGTTGGTATTATGTGTGATTTTGGCACACTTTGTTAACTATTTGTTTGGCCGGCCAGCCACAGATGCTTTCCAAGGTACAAAAGCATAAGGCAAGAGTACAGTAGTTGGAAAGCAAACCAAGCTTTGGAGGTGCAAACCGTGGTTTGCTAACAGTGTGTGCAATCCATGTCAATGGGTTAGCATGTTTTATGCAGCCAGGTGCATGAGGAGGGGCTCAATCTGTCTTAGCTATCTACTCCAGTATGCTTGGAACCATATTCAGCAGCAATTTGTACAGACTAATGTTGTCAAATGTTTATGCACGGAAGCTTGGTGCTTTTAACAACCATATGAAGGTTCATACCAACTACGTTCTCCTTCCCACAACTCCATATTATGCCATTTGTTATGCCCTCCCCTTAAAAAACAAGCAACACGTTTTCCCTATACAGTGAAGAGCCCGGTGAAAATATCTGGTTGTGGTTTTTTTGTTTTAAAGAATGATTTAGTAAGTATACCCACTGTATATTTAGTTAAATTTTTTAGTGAACCACTCAGTGCCACAAAGGCAGTTTACTCAGATTCTGCAAAACAGCATACCCAATATCCCCCAATATAAAAATATTTATTAGAATTTCAAGGGGTGGGAGTGGGGAAGGAGATAAGTTGAATTACACAAATAAAAAAAATAAATTAAACCCACACTCACTCAGATTTTGTCAATTGGCTCCAGCGAATTATTATGCATTCCTCATTCTCCATTTGCCACAAAATTCCCAACTGTTCAGGACAGCTTTAATCAACCTACTACACAAAGTCCAGATTTAGGGGAAGCGGCTAATTTCTGTCTTGCACAACTAAGCACGTCTCTTAACTTTCTTCCTCGACCCTTATTCAACACCCTTTCCTCTACCCTTAAGAAGATAATAAGATCAAAGACCCGCGTAACAACACAAACGGGTTTCAGTAGGCACACGTTCTGCCTGAAGCCAGACGTTCTTGCAGCTCCTCACCATCATGTGCCGTATTACATTCCAGCCGTGTCCTTTATTCGCCCGCGCGCGCACCCACCCGCTCTGCCCACCGAAAGCACTTCCAAAGAAATACCGCCACAACCAGCAACTAGTACGGCGGCGGCCGCCTTTCTCTCAGCCTCTTCCACAGCTGTTCGACCCTATTAGACCACCGCGGCTGGAAGAGTTCCGAATGGAACGAGAGGGGAAGAGGGAGCATTCTATTCCCTTTCCTACTGGTCCGTGGCGGCAGGACTCTCCGGGCTCCCGACGTTTCATTGGCTAACACGTTCCTCTTCTCCCCACCCTGGAGCTAATTGGTGGAGCTTGAGCGTGGAGAGGATGGAATCCCGGGTACGAGGCGTGCATATGTGTATGTGTGGAGGGCTCGGGGTGCAAAGCAGAAACTGACCCGCCCTGCTGGTCACCTGCAACAAACACATATATACACATACACATATATGCATATTCTCTAACACACACACACACACACATACATATGTGTCTGTTATGTATATATATATGGGTATGTATATGTATGGATTGGGATTGACTTTTAACAGGGCGCGCGCGCGCACACAGACGGACTGTGCCTGCGTGAAGGCAACTGTGCACATCCGGGAGGGCGCGGGTGTTTGGAGAGAGCGCGCCGCATTTTCCTTGCATTGCTACGCAGGGCTCCCTCTGAAGGGGATTCGCGGCTGAAACTGAGGGAGTTTGCAGCTGTCAAGGGGAGGTGGAGGGGCTCCTGTAGTTGAAGCAAGAGAAACAAAGAACATGGCGAGGCATTACAAGCAAAGCGAAGAAGAGGTGGAGTCTGAGGTGACGGGAACCGAGTTTCTTCCCGCCCCTTGGGAAGCAGGCGGGCGGCGGCGGGGCGGGGGGAGAAGAAGAAGGGAAGGACAGTCGGAGGGGAGGACCGTGGCAAGCCGGCGGGGCTCCCGGATGAGGAAAAGCGGGCAGGGGCGAGTTTTGTTTGTGGCAGTTTCGGGAGGAGGAGGGGGCTACACGTGACGCGTTTGGCGCTCAAGTTGCGCGATTTGTTTCATTTCCCCTTAAGTGCAACAACTGCAAGTAAGAGTGGGAGGGAGCGCGCCAGGATCCGTCCCTTGTGGAGAAGAGAGGCTTGTTGCAGCCGTCCTCCTCCTGCTGGCTGTGGGGGAAGAAGAGCGCTGTGGGGCGAGCGGGCGGGCGGAGTGGACCTGGCACGCCAAGGGGACTCTGCCGGAGCTTCGGGAGCCTGAAGTCGGGCAGAGAAGCGCGGGGCGGAGCGGGTGGCGGCGTCGGGCTGCCCCGCCTCTTCTACCCCGCCGGGACCAGCGGGGTTGAGCGCGAAGAACTACGCCGCAGGTGGAAGGGAGGCTGCCGCCGCCGCTGCCGCCTTTCTCCCCTCGAGGGAGGCCTCTCTGTGCCGTCCGGGAAGATGCTTTTGGAGGAAAGAGGCCGGTCGCCGGTCGCCTGACTTCTGTTGCTTCGCTGCGTGGCGTTGCAAGCCGTAGGGGCTGGACAAATAGGGGAAGGTCGCCTTTTTCCTTGCTCGCGGGTGGCGAATAGCGCGCGCCTTGCTACGAGCAGAAGGCGAAGGAGCAACGTTCCCGAGCTGCATTTTTGTGAGGGACAAGATTTCCCGGGAGCTTGTGTGGCTGCGAGGGGTGGCGGGAGACGGAGCTCGGGTGCTCTCCTCTTTCGAAAACTGTAACTTCTGGTTGATCTGGAGAGAAGAGGAAACATCATCGCTTTCCCTCCCTTCTCTCTGACTGCTCTTAACTTAGGACCCAAATAGCAACTGTGGATCGCAAACAGGGAGAGGTATTGGCAAAGGGATGAAACACATCATGTCCCCTTCCTGAATGCTGTAGTAGATCAAGCGGGAAGGCTCGAAATGACTAACCTTAAGTTTGTTTTGTTGTTGTTACAGCGGTGGAAATGGCAGGCTCTTACTTACAAGTTCTGGAAGTGGTGGCATAACGGGAGTGAGCTGTGCAGGTGCAGCGACAGGTATTGGGGGAAAGGAGAGAATTGCTACCTTTCTCTTTTTGAAAGGGGTTCATAGGAGCGGAATCAGGTTAATCAGCTGTGCTTGGTAGTTGCTTACAGCCCAATCCTATGCGTTTACTGGGATGCCCCACTGAATTAGCTATAGAGTTTACTCCAAAAATAAGTGCACGGAGAATTTGAGTGGGAGACTAACTTCTGAACTCTTGTGGTGGGAAGTCAGTAGTTTTTCTAAGCAGAGGTTGTTTGCTAATGCAGCAGGTGGGCTTATGTGCAGCAAGAGGAGCTGACAGGGCTGCTACAAGTGCATATGAAATGCCTCTTTTGTATGTAAGCAAGCAATTCTGTATTTTAGAGTATTAAAAAGAAGCCATCTTGTTGGCTGAAGTGTGTGGAAAATCTCTCTAGCATTACCTTTGACTTTAATTGTACTGCTGCAGTTGTTTGGTTGTTTGGTGTAGGGTCTGTGCTACGCTTGTAAAGAGGAGTAAATGTTTCTGAAGTTCAAAATGCAGCTTAAGCTGTTTTGTGCTCCCCAGTCCCTCAGAGATCAAGGCGAATCTTTTTCTTTTTTTAAAAAAACACCCTCTTAGTGTTAAGGAGAACTTTAATACCACTTCATGTCATTGTTGACCTTGGAAGCCAGTTCTAATGGGTTTTCAGCCCTCAGAGGCCACTCAAATTCATTATTCACATAGAGGGTTTACAGTCTGCCCTTGGGAAAGCATAGAAATATGCTTTTGAACCATTTGCCCATCTTGACATGGTAGAACAGCTCACCCCGCCCACAAACTACATTAAAGGGGGAAATACTAAGAACAATCTTCTAGCAAATAATGTACTCTCATTTCTTTTTTCCAGTCCATCTGTGTTAAAGATTATTTAATGAAGGCTTTTGCGGTATACAGATACAACTCTGTCACCCACTGCTTGATTCAGCAGCATGAAGATATTGTTTGTATTTGGGGAGCACGCTCCATTGGTTACTGCACCAACAAGGTGCTTCACTTTTGGCCAGTGAAATGCATGGTTTTTCCTAGAAAAGTCTGCAGTAACTTGAGTGCTTCCTAAGAACCTTGACTGAGACCAAAATATGTTTATGGCAGCAGGGTTTGTTTGTTTTTAAGTTCTGATAAGTTGTATTGTTTTACATGGTAATGTAGTTGGGCACACTTCAGAAGTTGCGCAGTCGAAACCTCTTCACATCAACATACTGTTTCCCCAAATGCCCAGTGATCTTGGTGCAAAGCAGAAAGGGGTGCCTTGGTCTACTTGATTAAGCACAGTTAATAAGAAAGCTTAGCAGCATTCTAGCCATTCTTATAAATACTAATTACTCTTTTGCAGAAAACAGTGGTTATCTATTTTGCATGTGCATACACAGACTTGGTGCTCATAGAACTTTAATGTAATACGACCATTATAGAGTTTGAGGATGCCATTACATACTGACCAAACTTCAGAAGACTTTCCCTCCCCCTCAGAAGTGTTGACATTTAATTGACCTTTGAAGGCTCATTCTGTTAATCATACTCAAAGCACTAAAGCTATGGTCCACTGATCTGGTGTTCTTCCATTTAGCCGTGTTCAGCATATAAATTCTGCAGCATAATTGCTACTTATTGAGCAAGAGTTTCTTTTCTTTTCTGAAAATGAGAGAGGCTTGCTTTGCCTCAGGCAGGCCACTTGTAGAGTTCTGATTCCAAACTGCTTTCCTGTCATTAGTTGGAGGGTGTGGCTTCTAGTTAGGAAAGCAATGGAAATTCTTGCCTGCTTAAACTGCTTTTTTATGCTTCCTGAAGCAGTTTGCAAATGGGTAGATGGATAACCTTGAAAACTTGAATGTCCTCTGTCTTGCATAAATTGAAGCATGTGTTCTAAAAATGACCCATGATCTGTAATCTCTCAGATTTTATTTTCCTGGGACACTTAGTATTACATTTTTGAAGCAGGTTAACATCCTAAGTAAAAACAATGTGGTGGGGGGGGGAATGTTTATGTTAAACGTTCAAACTATAAATATATTTAAAGAACTAATACATACCGAGCACATGCATCTTCAACTTTTTCTCAAGAATTGCCAAAAACCATATTAATAATCATCGATCATTTTTGTGTGCAGGGCAGTTACTGAGCAGTTAACTTGGCATTAGTTGTATTACCGAGGCAGAACTTTTGTCTGAAGTGCCAGCCTTTGCTTTGGAGTTTGTGTGTTTCTCATTTGAGAATGGAGCTTGTTTTCTGTATGTGTCTGTTTTGTGTGCTTTTTATTTATCTTATAAAAAAAAAATACTAGCCAGTCAGTGGCTAGTTTATTAAGCGACATAACGCTTGTAGATATGATTCCTTGTTAATTTGCCAGTGCAGCTGAAAACAAGAGGCTGGTTTTGTATGAATAGATTAATGACACCTTAGGGAAGGAGAGGTTGGATTTCTTAGTAATTTTGCTCGTACAAACCAAACCCACAAATATAGAGGGTGGAGACGAGCTTGGAGACAGTTCCCAAACTGTAGATTTGTTTGGCGTTGCTGGCACTCTACCCAGGCCCCAGGGTAATAATTTAGTGTCAACATGTACATACAGAGTTACAGGCTTATGGTACCAAGGTGATAGATGTCTTTGAAATACCTTTACCATCTGATCATATAACTTAAAGCACCAACACATAAATGCATAGGATGGTCATTAGTGTAATCAAGAAGGTTAAGGGTCTAGGTCTCAGTTATGGAACTCCACATTTGTGGGCCTTTCAGTATTAGCTGGGCTGCTAATGTTGGCACGGAACTTGCTCTCATATCAGTAGTTTAAGTGAAGTATGCATAACAACCTCAGACATCATACAGTGCTTCAAAGGCACTGCTGCTAACTTTAAGCCATAAAATAGGGATTTCCACATCCTGTTTGAGGTACAATCTCTGACTGAGCCATGCAGCGCCAGCAGTTAGAAATGTAGGTTCTGCCACTGCAATGGAGATTGAGTTCCCCCACTTGGCCAGCTTCTCATTCTTTAATAGTTCTTGCCTGGATTTTTGTTCAGATACTTGTATTCTGTCTCCTTCAAGACCATTGTGTTTCGGCCATGTTTAGTTATTGTTGCATCCGTGAGGATGGGCTTATGCCAATTGACAGCCACTTCAGCATGGATGTGGAGCTATCGCTGCAATGAGGTTTTGAGCATTAGGGCTGCTAGATAATACCAGATTTGAGGTGTAATATAAAATTGGTCATAGGTTCCCTGGTTAGAGTAATAGTAAGCTGAACAGGATGATAGTGTACAGCATACATAATTAACTAAGGGAACTTGCCCAGTCCTTTTTTTCATTAAAACGTGCTTTCTCCTGTCTGTAACTTGAGGAGCAGGTTTACCATTAATACAGGAAAAGAAATCTGTTGGATTATTCAAAGTCTATAAAAATAAGCTTTCAAGAGTTTTATATATTTGAAATATCATCTGTTCATTTGTTATATTGTATATAGCGTGGGCCACATTTGGCATGCCAGGATTCCTAATATGGCCTATGAAACCAATTTTCTCAAGTCATGTCTACTCATCTGACATCAGGTATGACATAGGTAAAGCTGCAGCTGCTAAGGAACAGTTGGGAGCCTTGAGAATGCTCTCCCTATTGCTTCTTTTCAAATGTGGCTTGAATTTGGCACACTTTAAATTTGGTGCCACTTAAACTTGAAGTAATTAGGGATGTGGGTGGCACTGTGGGTTAAACCACAGAGCCTAGAGCTTGCCGATCAGAAGGTTGGCGGTTCGAATCCATGCGACGGGGTGAGCTCCCGTTGCTCGGTCCTTGCTCCTGCCAACCTAGCAGTTCGAAAGCACACCAGAGTGCAAGTAGATAAATAGGTACCACTCTGGTGGGAAGGTAAATTGCGTTTCCGTGTGCTGCTCTGGTTCGCCAGAAGCGTCTTAGTCATGCTGGCCACATGACCCGGAAGCTGTACGCCGGCTCCCTCGGCGGGTAAAGCGAGATGAGCGCCGCAACCCCAGAGTCATCTGCGACTGGACCTAATGGTCGGGGTCCCTTTACCTTTACCTTTAAAGTTGAAGTTGATGCTGAATGCAAGATGTTTGGCCTGGAGTGGTCACACATGGGAGCTCCCTAAAGGCGCTAACCTGACGGCACAGCTTGCATATGGCACCAAATTACAAATGACTCTGAATGCAAGCCGTGCTTGCAACGGAAGAATTAGGAGTCCTGTCATTTTGCTAGCATGGTTTTCAGTTGGTGCTGTTTACATTCGGTCCCGAATGCAGGCTGCATTGCTTTGGCTGGGCCATCTGATGTCATAGGATGTTGGGTGGTTGACTGGTAGGTTGTCCCTCCCAGCTGTCAAATGTGGCATGTAGACTACTCACCCGCAGATCAGACAAGGTTCTTCAGCCCAAGTAAAGTTCTGGAGACATAGAGCTTACTTAACTAAATAGTTTGAAATTTTAATCTGCCTTAAGCTAACAGTTATTTCTCTTTGGATCTGGGTATGTATCATATGTGGCCACTTTAGATCTTCCCATGTTCCATTCAAATCAAGGGACATGAGTACTGTGAAAACACATCATTCTGTGCTTTGATGTGTTACAAAGGAATGTCTGTTGTGCCTGGATGGATGGATGGGTGGGTGGGTAATTAACTGGTGAAAGTTTGTGTTGTAGTAATACCTGCAGTCCCTGCTAGAACATTTTTATAAAGCAATGTTCATCTAGATCAGCAAATACTGAGCTGTGAGGCTGGCTCTCCTAAGGAGGCATGGATAATTCCATGGAGAGGTACATGAACCTCATGCGGGTATTGATAAGAGTACCGTATTTTTCGCTCCATAAGGCGCACCGGACCATAAGGCGCACCTGGTTTTTAGGGGGGGAAATCAAGAAAAGAAATCTTATTTCTCCCCCAGCCCCAAAGAGTAGCTTCTCCCAGAGCTTCTGGGGCTGTCAGGGGAAGCCCGGGGTCCCCCCCCCCAGCCCCAAAGAGCAAAGAAGCCAAGACAGTGAGCGGGATGGATCCTGCTCGTTGTCTTGGCTTCCTTTTTAGCTGCGGGGCTGGGGGCAGGCCGACCCCAGCCCCCAAAACAGGTCGGGGAGCAGCAGCAAGGTTGCGCACAGCCTTGCCTCCGCTCCCGGAGCTTGCAGGGCTGGCGGGGGAAGCCCGGTTCCCCCCCCCCAGCCCCAGGGACCACATATTCGCTCCATAAGACGCACAGACATTTCCCCTTAGTTTTTAAGAGGAAAAAAGTGTGTCTTATGGAGCGAAAAATACAGTACATTGTTAGAAGCTGTGCCTAGTTTCTTGTGCTGATAGTAGATGGGATGCTATAGACCAGTAATTGCAACACGCACAGAGGCTTGTGACTAATGAATTTATTATGGCATAAGCAATCATGGACAAGAGCCCATTTCATCAGATGTGTTCATGTTCGGACACTTGCACCCCCGCACCCCCTCCCCCCCAAAAACCCTGGATGGTAGTATTCATTTTCTAGCATTCCTCCCTGTTTGCCTGATCTTGCTTTAGCTTTTATATTGCTGCCTCGGAGTATAATAGAGGAATGGGCATTGCAAGCCAACCCATCTGCTTTTGCTTGTCCTGTGTTTCTGGAGGTGGCAATGGATGCGTTCCAAAAGTGCAGTCCTACACAGCTATTAAGAAATAAGCCTTATTTAGTTCAAGGGGACTTGCTCCTGGGTAAATGTATATCAGATTGCAGCCTAATATACCTTCTGTAGAAAAAGTGGGTAGATAAACCTTTTCTCCTTCATAGTGTAAGAATATTGGAATTCATCCTGCTGGGCAGTAGATGCATTTCAGCAGCTAACACATTTTTTTAACTCAAATATATGCTTATGGCTGGACATCTGTGGGGGTTTTTTGCATGTTGATATTTAAGCATGGCTAAAATGCTTTTCCATTTAACATACAGCAAGAGTTAATTCTGAATTGCACTGAGGAAAAGGTATAATATTAACAGAACTTGAAGTACATGACCTTGAGAATATAATAATGTCAGTGTTCCAGTTGGTAGGTCACATTTTTGGTTAATTAACCATGAGAATGTCCAGGTTTGCTGGCCATAGGTTGTTGCTCCTCTCATAGCTTATCCCATGTAATATACTGAGTTATACCTGTTAAGAGAAACACTCTTAAGTTTACTGAGTTTTCTAAAAACAAAAAAAAAATCCTATAATATAATACTTTAAGTGGGAAGAACTTTCTTACATCTCATGTGGGGCCTTAAATTGCATTGTACAATAAATAAATAAACTCTTAAATTTTGGGGACTTCAGTTGAAGTAAGCTATCCCCAAGGAGTTAGTTGTCAGCACAGTATGTTAAGAGCTGATGATTTGCTGCCAGACAAAATGTTATGTGATCCACAGTGAAGATTTATTATATTGTCAAAATTATATAGCTGTTGCATTTGTTTGTATTGGAAATCTACTCTGAAGAACCTTGAGGACCAGAACATTCATTACTTTCAAATGGACTTAATAGCCTAAATCTGTTCAAGTTTACTCAGAAGTAAGTTCCATTCTGTTTGATGGGGTTTACTCCCAACAAAGTGTGAACAGGATTGAACTCTTAAGAAAACTAGCAACTGCTGTCGTCCATTAAATCTTTCCATACTTAGTTAGAGAGCTCCTATTTTATAATGCTAAACACCAAAGAAACCTGAAGTGCAATCTACACATGTCCCATTTGATAATTTGGTATAAAAGTGTTAAATGCAGGATTTGAATTGATGCTGAACAGGTGCAACACATTTATTGCAAGGGAGTTCTATTTAATGCAGGCGTTTATTGGTGCTTTTCTGGAGTTTCTTTGGTAATTTCAGGAAATGTGTTTTATGCAGAAAGAGGCAGCATTCTGGTTCCCATTTCAGTAAATAAGTCAGGAACAAATGAAATATGAGTTTTTTGTGAACTATGGTTTGCAAATAAGGACCCAGCCTCTCTTGTCTTTCTTCCTTTCCTTTCATTGGTGATATTAACCATGGTTTACTAATTTTATTCAAAGGCAGATTACAGCTGGTATGTCCACACACTCACTTGGTTATAGAACGCCACTATATACATAATAAAAGTTGGGTTTTTTTCCTTTGAGCAGCAGACATGCACATGATTTCACAAACTGCTTTTATGGCTCTCTGGAGTTTCAAAAGCAAGTTTCTGTATGAGGTGGTGATCGCTCTTCGAGAAATGCAAGACCAAAGCCGGGTTAGGGGTGCAGAATTCTGAACATTATAACTGCAGACCATTATAATTGCAAAGATTAATGTAGAGAAATATGATTTTAAAAACTAATCCAAATTAAACAGCTTTAAAATGCAGTAAAGACTTGTTTCAAGATGCTCAGGGGTCTGATTATGGCTTAATTATTTGATAATAAAAGTTGCAAAATAAAGTGTCATAAAATAAGTGCATAATATCCATTAACTCTGCTTCTTGGTGTTAATGGTACTTCTGTAAATTTGTTTGAATCACCTATAATTACATATAACATGCTGTCTTGGATAGTGAATGCATTAGCCACCATGAGCTGAAGTGAATATTAGATGACTGACAGCTTGACAGAATTGGAAGTGGGTCATGCAATATAATCTTAAGCTTAGAATACTCTTCTTAACCAGAGCTTAACTGAGTTTTGTGAGCTTTCCTGCCATTTATTAAACTCGATTCAACAGTGGTATAGAAAAAAATAATCTTCCAGTCACAGGATCTTCTTCAATTAAATGTTGAATATGTAATGAAAATTTTGCTGTTCTTTTTCTTAATTTCTAGGAGCAAGTGCAGCATTCCAAAGATATGTGGTCATGTGATAGCAATTCAAATGAAAAGCGTGGGTTCTGGTAAGTAAAGCTTTTATTCCTCTAGCATCCAAGTATTTCTCAAATAGATTAACTAATTTTGCTCACATAATAAAGAATGGATTTTGATAAATGTAATCCATGTGTACCTTTCTCGGGAGCAAAGTTTGCAAGCATTTGGGTTACCATGATAAGGCAATACTATTCACTGATGCCCCAGCCATATTCTTGGTAGCTTGGTTGCACTGCCGATCAGTTAATATTTGAACTCAGTATTTCCTAAAATTACTCTTAAAGAGTGCTGTTGAATAGTGAAATTAACTTAATTTGGGGAGTGGGTTAGGGTGATTATTATTATTATTATTTATACCCCCGCCTATCTGGCTGGGTTTCCCCAGCCACTCTGAGTTGCTTCCAACAGAATAATAATAATAATAATAATAATAAAGCGATAAAACATCAAACATTAAAAACTTCTCTAAACAGGAAATATTTTAGTAGCTAGCAAATTCAAACAGAACTTGACACACACAGCAATGCAGGAGAATAGTGAACACTGTAATACCATTGTCCTGCATTAACGGGGCCCCTAATTATACTGTGAAAACTAAGCAGTTTAGATATGACCTTGCTTTGACTTTGATACAGATATAATCTATTTGATGTCTGAGAGGGGGCCATACATATGGAAAGTGAAATGCTGTATTGTTGACACAATGTCCTTCATCTAATGAATTCAAACAACCAAGAACTTGTATTCTTTCAACAAATTAGAGAGATAATATACCTGCAGAATGAGAAGCTAATCTTTACTTTGTGACAAAGCATAATTAAACTAAAATAACTTGCCTCTACAATGACTGACCTGGGCAGAGTGTCAAAGCATGTGGTGTGTATATTCACTGTCTCTTTGTGCTTTGTGAAACTTCAGTATTTGCACCTGATCCCTTCTACTCTTTGAGCACTACCTAATGTAGGAATGCCACGTTTGTACCTGTCTGCAGTGTGTAGGCCCACAAATATTCTGTTTGTAGCGCACTGAACTGGGCACTACGGCATGAATTCAAAGCTATGTTTGAAATCTTTTCTAGGCTAGATAGAGTGAGGGAAAGTTGATCCTTGTCTGGAGTGGTATAGGGATGCCAACTGCTAAGAATTCCTGGAATGCACAGCACTGAAAGTTTGCTTTGTTCCCTTAGTGACTTGACCCATTGAGAAAATGTCGTTCCCTAGGAGGTTTTAATAGCTTAAACTTTAGTAGTGAATAAAAGGAACCAACTCCTATATGATCTTAGCTTGTTTTCACCTGCTGTCTGAAAAATGAATTTTCTTAACCTTCGTGTGGAATAACCCAACCTTGTACTTTTGAAAGAATGATTTGTGTGAGTTCTTCACATTTATCAGTTATAATACTGCAAGTTCCTGCATTCCAAATAACCATAATGCTCTCACAAGCCAGGTTTCTTTTAAGTCTCACTGGGAATATTTTAGGTATGGGTCACTGACCTGTCTTCATTTTAACCAACTGATTTACAATAATTGCCTGGAAAAACACCAGTGAATATCACTTCGCTGTGTGAGTAGTTTTGTTTTCTAACTGTTCTTGCCTTGTGTCCTTGTAGCCAGGTGGGCAGCTGAGTGGAGTTTACGGTTATAAAAAGCTAGGATTAAGGTAGGATAATTTGTTAAGATGTTACAAGAAACCATGGTTAATGCAAGATGAGATCCACAAATCATGGTTTCAGATTGTGCTTTGTTGGCTACAGAAAAAAAGAAGAGTTAGTTGACTGTGGACATTCAGATAATCCATGCAGATAATCTGACATACATATAATCCATATCTGAGCATTGCACCCAAACACAATGCATAAGTCTCCACTATTTTGTCATGCAAAAGCAAGTAAACCCTTCATCATTAACTCTGGAATTCGCATGGCTTGGAAGCGGGTAGCATGCAACACCTGTGTTTTCATTTCTTCTTTGCAAACAAAGCAGATTAGGTGAGTTGAGAAACTAGTTTTATTAAGATAAACTTAATCCTGTAATATTTCCCCTCTGTGACTTGTGGTCAGGTCTTTCCATGAAGCATGCTATAAACTCCCTTTTCTCTGACAAAGCAAACAACAGGGTTGAATAAAAAGCACACAGGTCATCTTGAGTAATGTGACTTTACTCACTTGGTTTTAAAGCAGGGGTAACCGACATGGCTGAGCTCCAGATGTTGTTGGACCACAGCTGTCACCAGCCCCCTTGTGCTATAGCAGTGGCTGCCTTGATGTGGTGGTTAAGAATGTGAACTGGGAAATCTCTGGTTCAAATGTCTCCTTGGTTAGGAACTTGTTACGTAGCCTTACACAGATCACTTTTTGACTTTTGGTCTGTAATATGAAGAGAGCACAGGCCTATTGCACAGGCCTCTTCTAAAGTTAATGAGTGAACATTGAACACTCAGGACTAGCATTATATAAAACCAAACATATAGATGCCCTTAGGAAACCACAGGAGGTGATGCAGCAGTAACTGTAAAATCATTCCGACCAGCGTTAATGTTTTTCTTCTTACAACTTTTAATTCTGTTGGAAGCAACAGATTTACAGGTCAGTCTATAAACAGTATTAGCCCAAATATTGCCTTTCTTCTTCTTTTGTGCTGGTTACAAATGTGAAAACTGCCTGCATGTGGTAACCATTAAGGGCAGGGTTTACCAAATGAGTCCTGTTAATGGAAGTTGTGTGGAAGAAGTTGCCCAATGGGGTTTCCGTCCTCCCTCTGTGTGCCCCCACCTCCCAAAAATAGGCTTGGGGGATCAAGAAAACCACAGAATGACGCAGGGGGAGGAGAGGGACAGTTGTTCTGCCTAGCAAGCTGTTCAATGTGCCATTGAATTCTTCCCTAAATCTATAACTCCTAAGGTATTTGGGTGCACCTGCCTGTTACATAACCTTTGATTACTACCAGATCTTCATAAAATAGAAAAGAAAAGCTTTGCAGTCTCTTGCAGCAGTCTTCCTCCAGGAGGAGGAGAGTTGGGAACAGTCACCTTAGTCAGCTTGCCTGGATCTAGTTGTAGGTTAATGATAAAGCAAAACAACTAAGGAATGTATATTGCTGTTGACAGTGAGCGACTGTAAACATCCTCGACTGGAAGCTGTGAAGCTGCAGATGGGGCTTTCAGTCGGATGTTTGCAGCTGCCAGCTGCCACAGGCGTCAAACATTCAGAAATCTTTTAGCGTGTTGTGAAAAGAAAGAGAAAGTTCTAGGTTACCTTAAGTTCTAGACCTTATAAAAGCAACTTGACAAAGAACAATGCATTGTGGGGAGTAGAGTAAATAACTTGTCATGGTAATGGAATACAGTGGTACCTCGGGTTACATACACTTCATGTTACATACGCTTCAGCTTACAGACTCCGCTAACCCAGAAATAGTGCTTCAGGTTAAGAACTTTGCTTCAGGATGAGAACAGAAATTGTGCTCCAGCGGCAGCAGGAGGCCCCATTAGCTAAAGTGGTGCTTCAGGTTAAGAACAGTTTCAGGTTAAGAACGGACCTCCGGAACGAATTAGGTACTTAACCCGAGGTACCACTGTATAAGTAAGTGACTGGCAGTGATGTGGGCTTTGCAGAAAATTTTGAATTGGAATTTTTTTTGGAAAATTGTGCATTTTTTTGCATTAAATATAGGTGTGGTTTGAAATGAACATCCTATTTGCAGGTGGCAAAAAGGGGGAGCAGCTGTTTTAGGGACCGTAGTTTTTTCTGAAACAGTTTTACCATGGGGGGGGGTTGCTAAAGAGGGCTTTTTAACCTCCCCCTCCTTTTTGTTGACCCCAATCACACAGTGGAACACTTGACTACTGCCTTGCTTCAAACCACAAAGTGTGCTTTATTGATTCTGCTTCACCCTATTTTGAAATATTAAAATTGAGGAAAATTTATGAAAGCAACCATGTGGTTTAAATGTTATAGCCGAATAATTTCTAAGTAAACCTTTGAAAATATGTTTTTTGGAATACTTATAAATATTGTAAGACTTGATAACACCTTCTCTTAGACTGTTCAAATTTAAAGGGAGACAGTGAGAGGACCAAGAATTGCCACCAAACTCATCTTAGCTGTACTTTTATATTTATTATATATGCATGCATCCTAGAATTTGTCACCTAAAGGTCATAACAGTTTTATTACAGCCGCCTAATTTTATTTGTATGGCATAATGAATGGATACTAATTTAGATTTATATTAGTGCTGCAGTTTTCAAATGGGAACTTTCCCCCTCTATACACCGCTTGATAATGTGTGTGCATCTTCCTCAAAGCCTTTGCAAGACCTTGGATCAAGGCACCTCCCTCGCTGTTCACAAGACATCTCTGGCCTCAGCTGCACTATGTATTCAAAGCAGTTCTTTATCACTTTAAACAGTCATGGCTTCCCCAAAGGAATCCTGGGAACTGTATCTTTAGGGGAACTGTGCCTTAAGGGAGCAGAGTGTTTTTGGGAGACCCCTATTCCTCTCACAGAACTACAATTCTCAGAGTGGATTAACAATCCTTCCCAGGGAACTTTGGGAATTCTGCTTGGACTACTGCAGTGCGCTGTACATAGGGCTACCTTTGAAGGTGGCTCGGAAACCAGAACTAATCCAGAATGTGGCAGCTAGACTGGTGACTGGGAGCAGCCGTTGGGATCACCTAACACCGGTCCTAAAGGCTCTATACTGGCTTCTAGTATGTTTCCGAGCACAATTCAAGGTGTTGGTTCTGACTTTTAAAGCCCTAAATTGCCATGGCCCTGTATACTTCAAGGAGCATCTCCACCCCCATGGTTCAGCCCGGACACCGTGCTCCAGCGCCGAGAGCGTTTTGGCTGTTCCCTCATTGAGAGAAGTGAGGCTACAGGGAACCAGGCAGAGGGCCTTTGCAGCAGTGGCACCCACCCTGTGGAACGTCCTCCCATCAGATGTCAAGGAGATGAGTACCTATACTGTATAACCTTTAGCGGACATCTGAAGGCAGCCCTTTATAGAGAAGTTGTTTAATGTTTAATGTTTTATTATGTTTTTATATATGTTGGAAGCTGTCCAGAGTGGCTGGGGCAACCCAGTCAGATGAGTGGGGTACAAAACAACAACATCAACAACAACAAACAAATAGTAGCTATGTGAGGGCTATGGGTGTCTCCTAACAGCTCTCAACATCCTTAACAAGCAGCTGTTCCCAGGATTCATTGGAGGAAGCCATGACTGTTTAAAGTAGCATAAAGCTGCTTTATTTGGAATACTGCAGATGGGGCTATAGTCTTCCCAGTTCAGGAACTGCATCCCACCTGCCATAACAACCAAACTACAGTTCACAGGTCATCACAAGGGCATGATGGCCAGTGGCCACCTCTTTTGGGTAGCCAGTGCTGCGATACCAGCTCACTTCATTGAGCTGGGGCATGCCTGCCTACGGATGTCTAGATCATTCTATTTCTAGGCCGTGCCACTCATAAGTCATTGCCACCCCATTTTTGCATTAAATGTGCCTTCTTTTGCACAAAAATATTCCCACAAATTCCCACGTATTTAAATATGTTATTTCTAGATACGTGTTCTCTTTAAAATGCTTCCCTTTTTAATGCATTTTCGAGCCAAAACTCAAACATTTGGAGAGGTCTGTGTTGTTTGTTAATTGCATTTATATGCTGCCTTTCTGCCAAGGCAGTTAAGAATTTTAAAAGAATAAACAGAACCGTTCGCTGTAGTCCAGGAAGTGCTGATCAGGCCAGTTCGTATAGGAATTTGCAAATATCAAATTCCTCAGGCATCCCTTCTCCTACCACTGTTCTTGCAAGGTGTGCCCTGTTAGTTTGTTTTTAAAGTGCAGTACATATATACACCCCCCCTTAATTCCACTTAGCTTACAGATTAAACATACAGTAGACAAACTTGCCTTGCTGCTCTGTCTATGATGCCTAGGCAAGTTTCCCTCCCCTCTCCCCACAGTAGCAGAAACATCTGCATAATAAAGATATCTGATTAAGTAGTCATCGCGCTGAAGATGTCTTACAATTTCAGATACGTGATGACCTGGTCTCTAATGCACCAGTGTAAATGAGTGCGATGTTTAATAGGGGATATACTCTTTAATTGGTGCGATTGGCTTTAATAAGTAATTCAGTGCTTTATTTCTTTATTGGGAAGAAGGTTCAGAAACACTTCCTCTAATAGAGAACTTGTGCGTTGTGTGTGCTGATGGAAATGGAATCAAAACGGGGCCACTGAGAAATCACAGGTTTTTTAATCGGTGGGGAATCCCAGGGTTTTTCCGTTTTTTAATTTTAAAAAAGGAACCCCTAAAAACCGCTTAATGGGGATTAAGTGTGCTTAGTAGCCACAAAATTGTGTGTGTCAGTAGGGAAATAAAAGATGGAGGGGTGGGGCCAGTGTAGAATGCCTCACTTGAGTGCTTTACAGCTTACAGTATCCTGAAGGAGGTCATTGTTGCCTAGCTAGAATCCTGAACGGAAGCAATCCTGCTGTGAGTGGTGAGGACACATCGTGACATTTTGTTTAGCCCATGCTTGTTAAACCTAAAATGAATCCTGTGTGCTGCTATCTGCCCTGCTACCTAGTTCCTTGGTTGTCTTAAAACGGTTAGAAGAAAGAAGGCAGTGTGTGTGTTGAATCACAGTTAGTTTTTACAAAATGTCCAGCAAAGTGAGTGAGTACCATAGTTAAAACCCCTCTGAGAGACCTGCATTCTTTCTCTAGCCGTCATGTAGTTCGGCCTTGCCCTTTTCATCCTCAGCGCGGCCTGGATCTTGACTTAGATTGCTCTGCAAGACATGCGTTCCACGTTAATGAATTATTAACATTGTGAAGTGCTCTGTGCACCCTAAAGTCTTGTCATGTCATCGGTTCCTTTGTCATCCTGAAAAGCTAAAGCATGTGTGTGTTTTTCCGTGTGTTTATTTTTTAAAAAACAACAAAATTATTCCCGCTATATGACATGGGAACCATAGTGAAAAGAGGCTGTTGTGTTTTGTATGTAAATTCCTAGAAGGAAAGCATGATGTAATTTCTGGCAGAACAGGCATCTATTTTTACTGTTTTCTCTGTTTGCCCCTAATGTCCAAAAAGAGTTCATCTAGTCTGACAACTGACAGTGCTTCTTGCGATCTTGAGTTTTGGACACTGTTTTTCTACGGCGAAAATTAATTAAAACGGAGAAACAATTAGGAGAATGCCATGTCCTATGTTTTGCTTTAGAAACACCTCTGTTTCCAGGTCAGTTTGCAGTGTGGCTGGGGGGATCTGCTGTTCAGAAACCAGAAGTTTTAAATCCATTTTAGGCATCTGTGACTAGTTGAACCATTGCTTTCCCACCTAGACCAGTTTATCTAGTCCTACATTAATCTAATTCTAACTAGTGTCACCAAATACTTATCTGTAGTTCTCATAAGGTTACCTGTCCAGCATTGTGCTTGCAACGACCTACCATATTTTCTAGCCTCTATCCAGGACAGTTCTGGTTGGCTCATCTCAAAAAGTATACAGTTCTGCAGAACTGGAAGAGGTACAGTGGCGGGGGGAGGGGGCAGCGGCGAGGAATCAATTAAAATGAGGATGATGTTGAGTATTTTCTCTTATCAATGAGGAAAGGCTGAGAAAGGCTCCGGTTGCGAACGCCAAGCTCCTCTGTCTGGATATTGCTGGGGAAGCAGACCATGGGAGTAAAAGAACTTTGATCTGCTCCAGCATATCAATTGATGTTAAAACAAGGTATTCCATGCACAAGGCATGGCTTATAGAACATGTGGGGAACCTCAGATTCTGCTCGATTACAGCTCCTATAATCCCTGACCAGCAGTGTAGTATTAAATTTTTTAATGCAGAAGTTCATCAAGACGGACTCCATAGCCGTAACGAACAGTTGTGATCCTTCTTCCTTTCGTTGTTTAAATATTTGTGGAATGTCTCTGCCCCTTCTAGCTTGGAAGATAAGCATGTTTTGGTCCCTTGAGGCTTTTTGCTTTGTTGTTCATTGTAACCTTTTAAGTTATACTAACATGCCTACTAAAACAGTTATTCTACCACATATGATCCTTCCTTACGTGTCGGCAACACTCACATTGGGGTGGAAATCATTCGCTTCATATCTAAATGTGAATGCCTGTCCTTATGCAGCCAATACGGTGCCAGCTATGCAGAAGAGACAGGGACCAGCAGGCTTGGGAGAACTCCGAGGTTTGCAGAAATGGGGAATATATCTATCTATCTATCTATCTATCCAAGGAGGAAACAGCCCAGTGAGGTTGAGCATGCTCAGTAGCTACAGAACTCTGAGTGACTTTTAAAGGATGGGGCAGGGAGAGAATACAAGAACTTAACACTACAACCTTTTATTTATTAAAAAAAAATTATGTGCCACGTAATGAAAAATAATAATAAAGGTGGTTGACACAAGCTCCATCCATATTCCTCGTCTCATTTTACAGGGGAGGTACTATATCTGTTCCTTGGTATTCACAGGCCACATTGGTTCTCCATGAATCCCTATCAATTTTGTGATTTGCCTGCTAAATTCCTTTAGGGTTCTTTTTGGTGCTGTTTGAATGCAAGCAATTTGGAGGCAGCTATTTTTAACAATATCTTTCAAAGAATCCATTTCGAACTGCAAGCAGCAAGGCTCTGAAGTGCCAAGCATCTGTGACTTCAATTGAATTCCTGTACAGTTTACTAAGTGATGAAGCTTATATATGTGTGTGTGTGTGTGTGTGTGTGTGTGTGTGTGTGTATATATATATCCTGGAAGTTTTTAGAAACTTGCAAGACTAAATTCCTCTCTTTACCACACTTATGGACACTTTAGTCTTTTTGCACTAAATTCTACACTTAAAGGCAAGGATGCTTTGTTTTTTCTAAAGTAGATTGCTTGTTCAGTACGTTGAATCGAGGGTACAGTTATTGGGCGTAGGTGTGATCTCCCCCATCACCACCCCAACCAGAGCTAGGTGATCTTGCGCCCCTGGCAGAACTGTCCAGATTGCGCCCCCTAGCCATGGACAAATTAGCTCTTCTTTCCGCCTCTCCTCCAACCCCCCCTCCACCCATTCAGTTCACCCTCTAATTAAAACCTTTTCTTATGAGGCAATAATCAATATTTTTATTTATAGACATATTTATGTACATATTTTTAACCAATTTTGCGCCCACCCCTGGCGGGGGCCCACTTTGCCACCCCCTAACTACGGCCCTGACCGAAACCAAAAGCTGTAAAACAGGCAAACTTTCTAGTTTGAATCCATAAATAGATTGTTATCTGTCTCTTTGTAAAGTATCTTTACTTCTACTGCCCTTAAGACTCACCAGCTGTTAATGGGATTATATAGTTCGGTGCAATAATAGTTCTTAAATGAGCAGGGTCACTATTTCCCTCTTGAGAGATAGGCAGACTTACCTCTTCTTTGAAACTGCTGCACTTAACAGTTTCCAGTTACTTGTAAGGTGTGTCAGCACTGGAGTGCACGCCTGTCAAAATTGCCAGTCCTGTGAGTGGTTGTGCAGCATGAGCCAGTATCAAAAATTATGATATGCATCATATCCTGGAAAATGCTCCCCATCCATTTCAGATTGCAGTAATTTACCAAAAATGCTGTTTAAAGGTAGCTCGTATTTGGTATTATGTAGCTAAACTGCTTGGGAGTCTTAGGATCTGCATTTTTGTGGATCCAACCCTCTTTCTCTATCACTGATAAGAAGCAATTTCACATCCTCCAGCTACGCCCAAATGTGCAGTTTCTACAGAAGTATGCAAAACCTCAGTTCCCATCAGTAGGAGTCCCCCCCCCCGCAAAAAAATAAAGTTTCATTATACAACTTATGCTAACACAACTTAGCCTCTGTTGAACATAAGTCTCCCTATTTCTGCAGAATAAGCCTTGCTACTGGCTTAGGTATAGAACTAACATATCCATCCTTCCAAAAAGCACCTGGTTTTTTAATAAAGCAACACGTGTTATTTATGTGCAATATGAACTTGACTTTTATTTTCTTGTTAGCTCTGGAAAAGATCACTCTATAGTGGTGGGCGTTACATTCTTCATAACTACTTCTTGACAGTGGTACCTCGGGTTAAGTACTTAATTCGTTCCGGAGGTCCGTTCTTAACCTGAAACTGTTCTTAACCTGAAGCACCACTTTAGCTAATGGGGCCTCCCGCTGCTGCTGCGCCTCCGGAGCACGATTTCTGTTCTCATCCTGAAGCAAAGTTCTTAACCCGAGGTACTATTTCTGGGTTAGCGGAGTCTGTAACCTGAAGCGTATGTAACCTGAGGTACCACTGTGTGTGTGTATGAGAATGAGATGCTTGATTGTAGGAAAACCTCGAAGTGATTTACAAAAAAAGATAAAACAATAAGATTATCTATAACAACAACAACCTATATTTAAAACATACAGAAGGTTGAAACCACAGTAAAATAAGGCTAAAACAAATTAAAATGCCTACAAACTTTCCAAACGACTTGATAGACTTGTCTTGATCTGGGATGCTTTTACTTGGATTAATCAATTCAGCAGGTTGAGATGTGCAAGGAGTAAAGGGAAACTATTTTCAGAGTTGCTCTCAAACAGAGGAACAGCTCTTGGCTCACTGGAACCAGTGTGCCCAGAAACTAGTTTCACTCTTGTTGTTGTCGTCATATAGTTGTTCTACTCCTGTGGTATAAACCTTATTTTCTGATATCTTATTCCCCACTCCGTCCCAACCTTTAGTGATTGATTGATTGATTGATTGATTGATTAACTTTTGAAACAGTGCAAATTTCTTCTCTCCTCCAACCCCCAGACTTAGGCAATGTTGTAATATACAGTTCGTACCTCCTGTACCATACACTGTACACCATATCGTTGACAGCAGTAGTAAAATGAAAGACCGCTTGAATAAAAACTCATCTGAACAATTCCTTGTAAAATACTCTGTTAGTAACCTTGTGAAATGCTCATGCTAGTAACTGTTTGGAAGCTCCATAAATGTGAAACAGGCTTCCTTGCTCAGTAATGCAAAGGTGCGTAGTTTCTCCCATGCATGAGGAACGAAAATTAATTTTTTAACAGCCTTCCTCTAAAAGGGGCGTTGCCTTTTTTCTAACATTGCATAAAAGAGATCTTTGTGTGTGTGCACTGAATAAATTGATAAAGTCCTTGATTACATAGCATTCAAAATACCTTGATTTGCATGGCATGGTTGCTTTTCTTGGTATGGCTCACTTAACTTTCAAGTATCACTTCTCTGAAGCTGTCACATGGAAGAGATTGCTGTCTCTGTAAACAATATATGGGTGGTTGGCTCCTTTAATTGTTTGCTCAGAGAACTGGCTGAGCAACTCCCTTCCAGCAGAGGAAATGGATTGATGAATTCGAACTTGACACAAGATTGTGCATATCCAGAGAAGCTGTATCCTTTGCAAGGGGAAAAGAACTTGGATTCCTGCCATGCAAAGGACTTGGACTCCAGCCACATCGTACCCATTGTGTTTTGAGCAAATGGCAGAAGCCACATGCTGCTTGCCTGTTTTATCCATAAGCAGCTAGCTAACATGAAGAGAGTATGAACTAAAAGAACAGAATCTGACTTGCATCTTATGGCATGTAAATGCCGTGTTGCGGCTCTGCCCTCCCAGCCTGTCATGTTAAGATTGCTCCTTCACGTACGGGTGGAGAGTTCCTGTTATTCCCATTCCTAAAAAGTACCCAACTAGGGAAAGCCTACCCCAGTTTCCTAAAGGAGCTCCCTTCTCTGAAGTAAGTGTCTGCCTTCCAATTTGGCTGGGCTTAGCAATCGGTCGCTCAAAGCTACCTGAACACAAAACACAACAAATATGCGTAGAGTCCCTGTACTGATCCTCTTATCCTGCAGCTGATGTCGGAAGCTGCCAGTGTCAAAGGTGACCATGCAGAGTAAATTTTGCTATGTGCTTTTCCTAGTGTAGGATCAGCGGGGTCAGCAGTAGTCACCGTAGTTCCTTCCAAGATGATGTTGGGCTGCAACTTCTGTCAGTCCCAGCAAGCATGATCAATTGTCAGGGGTGATGAGAGTTGTCATTCAGTAACATCTGAAGTGCACCATTTTGGCTATCCCTGAGTTAAGAGCAATATCTTGGTGTGGGTGTTCTTCCCCTCCCCATACATTTTGATCATGCATATTTACTGCTTCTCCAGCCAGCAGTCCAGAACATTATCTCCATTACCCCCTTACCCTGTGGACCAAATTTGATGGATGGGTGGGGCTGCCAATGTGTCAGTCAGCTGATGTCACAGTGACATCAGGCGATACGGCAGAGGGCTCTGCTGGACTTTTAAGTGTCGAAGATCAACTGATCACCCGGACTTCAGAAGTACTCTGCACAAGGCTTTTAAAATGCCACTGGTCAGCTTATTAGCACTTCAGAAGCTCCTTTTTGTCCATCCATCTTTTTACCTTTCCACACCTGATGTCATATATAGTGACAGGTGATTGACAGGTAAGTGTGACTTGGCCAAAATGGCCTGGCAGGCTAAATGGGGTCTAAGGCCTAGAGGTTATCCACCTCTGATTGTGTAATATGACCTATCTGCTGCCAGATCTAACCTTTCCACCTTATTACTGATATTAAGTAAGAAAGATCATGCAGGATTGCATGTCTTTAGTCAGTCTCTGGATAGTTTACGCTAGGAAGCTCTTAGAAGAACTGGATTTATTTGGTCATACACCCATAAAACTGTTAACAGTTAAAAGTTTTTACAACTTCTTTCTTCAGCAAGAACTGCCTGCTGTAGTTTCATCAGAGACATTCCATTGGGGGGTGAAAAAGCTCTATTAATAGTTTTCTACTAGCAATATGGGATACTGCTGGCACTGTGTCTTAAACCACTGAGCCTAGGACTTTCCGATCAGAAGGTCGGCGGTTCGAATCCCCACAACGGGGTGAGCTCCCGTTGTTTGGTCCCTGCTCCTGCCAACCTAGCAGTTCGAAAGCATGTCAAAGTGCAAGTAGATAAATAGGTACCACTCCGGTGGGAAGGTAAACGGCATTTCCGTGCGCTGCTCTGGTTCACCAGAAGCAGCTTAGTCATGCTGGCCACATGACCTGGAAGCTGTACGCTGGCTTCCTCTGCCAGTAAAGCGAAATGAGTGCCGCAACCCCAGAGTTGTCCGTGACTGGACCTAATGATCAGGGATCCCTTTACCTTTACTAGCGATACACAAATTTATGGTGCAATATTTAAAACGCTGTATTCCCTAATAGCTATAAATGTTGACACGTGATTAGCAACTTTTCTGTGAAAAGATTTCAGAAGTTAGGTATGATTTCTCAGTGGTTGTTGCATTTTCAGGTGTACTGTCTTTGTCTTACAAGAGCTATCAGAACCAAGCTGTAGGAAGAATGCTAGGTTTTTCACTTGCTGAAATTATTTGCTTAAAACAACATAGTGTCCCCCACCCTGGAAGGTTTTGATTGCTTGGACAGCTAAGACTACATCAGATTAATAAATATATCAGCAGCAGAAAATAAGGTGTGAGCTTCCAAGCTGGGGAAAGCTAGTGATCTGTTTTTGTAGCCAGTAGTTCTGGGAAAGGTGAGTAGTAATGTTGTGCAGAAGCACCTCTTTAATAGCCTTTTGATGTGTTCAAACAACTGGAGAATTCATAGACAAGACCAACATGACCTGCATTAGTTTGAGAAGAAAGGTCCAATAGACTCCTAGACCTCATCTGAGTACCGCACATATATTGTTTGCTTTTCTATTCTTTGAAGGAATTCAGGGCGGCATGCACTCAGCTGTCTCATTTTATACCTCGCAAAAGTCCTGAGAGACTAAATACAGTGGGTACCTTGGTTATCGAACTTAATCCATTTTGAGATTGTGTTCGACTCCTGGAACAGTTTGAAAACCAAGGTGCGGCTTCCGATTGGCTGCAGGAACTCCTGCACTCAGTCGGAAGCCGAATCGGACGTTCGACTTCTGAAAAATATTCGCAAACTGGAACACTCACTTTCAGGTTTGCGGTGTTCGGGAGCCGATTTGTTCAGGAGCCAAGGCGTTTGACAACCAAGGTACCACTGTACAGTGGTGACTTGCCCATTTTCACCAAAGGCATACTTCTGGTTTGTAAGAGATTCAAACCAGATTTGCCTCCGGCTCCCTGGGTGCTATCCCACCCTGGTGCATTCAGGACTCCCTCCCTTTTCAGTTAGATTTGTCTGTCTGGTGAGGTGGTCATTGTTCTACTGAGCGTAGTGGAAATTTACCAGACAGTTAAAGAACTTGTAAGCAGAACTTGTTAAGAGAAAGTAAATTTAGTTCAAGAGCACCCCTTTCATTAGAAAGAGAGAGAGAACCCAACTTTCCAGTCTGCAAACTGAGGATTTATGCCATTCCGTGACATAGAAGATTGACTTGGAAGTGGGCAGAGGCACTGAGAAATGTGGCCTACTAAGTTTCAACCATTTTGGTTTGGCCAGATTACAATGCCAAAACAATGCCACACAGTCCCTAACACAGGGGTCAGCAAACTTTTTCAGCAGGGGGCCAGTCCACTGTCCCACAGACCTTGTGGGGGGCCAGACTATATTTTGAAGGGGGGGAAATGAATGAATTCCTATGCCCCACAAATAACCCAGAGATGCATTTTAAATAAAAGCACACATTCTACTCATGTAGAAACACCAGGCAAGCCCCACAAATAACCCAGAGATGCATTTTAAATAAAAGCACACATTCTACTCATGTAAAAACATGCTGATCCCCGGACCGTCCACGGGCCAGATTTAGAAGGTGATTGGGCCGGATGCGGCCCCCGGGCCTTAGTTTGCCTACCCATGCCCTAACAGGAGTAGTAAGCATGTGAAATCTACTGAACCAGAGCTATTGAGTTGAACAGAAAGCATGGAGGAGGCCTGCTGATTTTTCTCTTTCTAAACGGTTTTGCTCCTGCAAAATGCAGCAATGATACTAGCATTTTTTGTGTAAACTTTTTACTTTTAAAATAACAATGTGGATTGTTGCAGCATCTGTTTTGAGCAACATTAAGGAACTGAATGGCTTCCCTTAGGCTATCAGTACAGTATTACTGGCAAATCTCGTTTGAATTCTTAACGCCTTTTGAACTAGGACAGAGGGTTCTTGGTTAATGAGTGAGTGAACAAAAAGTATTTGTCGTAAAACCATATCTCTCCTGAGGCAACCATTTGTGAAACTATGTTCAGACATGCTTCTCTAGCTAGAATCTGGCTACGAATGGCACAGGTTATGCCGCTTCCACTTCTAGTGGATATTCACAGTGGAACAAGTGTCTTTAAAATAAAGGCACACAACAGTTTTGTATGCTTGCAGAGACTATGTTCATACAGAATATCCTTAAACCTGGTGATACCAGGCTATTTGTGCTATGTCTTACCAGCAGTAGAAAAGCCAGTCTTTGAGATACTTCAAAACACAAAAGGTTCAAAACACTGTTAAATGGGTTTGACAGATAAGATGATTCCAAATGTAATAAATTCAGGGCACTCATTTGTTGTCTTGTTGATAAATAATTTCTAGCAACCTGTCCTTGGTTTTTGCTTCCATGATGGCTAAAATCCATTGTATTGAAACAGAACTTTTGCCTTCTTTTTCTGTAGTTGATTCTCTTAATTAATATGGTCAGGCAGGATGCCCTCCCTTCATGCGTCTAGTTTATTTAGAAAAAAACATTTATATACATTTATATACCGCTGTTCATAAAAATATTAGCAGTTGACAGTCATACATAAAACTATGCAATAAAAACCTGCTACATTAACAGAGATTTGAGAATTTGTGGTTTAAACAAGCGGCATACCCTATAGGTATAGGCACCTTTTTTCTACAGGGCTTTCCAAGTACAGGATAATACCAGTTCATTCTCTGCAACTAATTTTATAAAAAACTCAAACTATTTGGTTCGAACCTAGTGCTTTATATTGCATTGCCTCCCTATTTGTTGTCTCTCCTTTAGCATCTTGTCTTAAAATGCATTATGATAGAAGCTGGCTCGCCTCAGACAGGATTTATGCAGTTCAGAGCAAGGAAAACACGAAACTCCAGAACATCACTGAGAATGGAGACTAAATCTGGTGACCGTTTGCCAGAGGAAAAAAGGAAGGATAAACAAAATCCAAGAGTGTAAAAACATTTAATAAACTTCTTAATCTCTTCCTTCTTAATCTGCAGATAGTTTGTGACAGAGGTACAGAACCCTGAGCTTGCAGGGCAGCAGTTGAAGAAGGAGCAAAAAGGTTTTTCTTGTGTGTGTGTGTTTCTTTGTGGCTGATTAGCTGCTCTCCCTGTGCAAAGGTCAGAGGGGGCAGGGTTTCTGTTGAGGCAGGTGATTAGCTGTGGGAGGAGCTTGCAGGGCAGCAGTTGAAGAAGGAGCAAAAAGGGTTTTCTTGTGTGTGTGTGTTTCTTTGTGGCGGCGCGCGCAGTTTGATCCATCTTTTAGATTTAGGGGAGCTAGTCTCAAACGTTTGTTGGGGGAGACCTAGTTTTTTTGTGGGGGGAGTTATTTGTCCTGTCTTCACGCTTTTTATGATGGAGGACCGCTGTAGCCACCCCCAACGACACGTTCTCAAGATGGAGGGGAGGGAACAGCTGCAGTCGCCTGCGGTTCCTGCGCAATGTTTGCCATCTTGCCAAAGGTTGCAGGCAGCTTTACCTGCAGCAATTGCATGTTGATTGCCCTCTTAAAAGACAAAGTCCAGCAACTGGAGGAACGTGTAGCTACGCTCCAAAGAATTAGAGAGCTGGAGCTCTTCTTGGAAGCAACAGAGCACACCGTCTCCACCAAGGAGGTGACAGGGGACTCCCCTGAGAAGGAGGCTAGTTCACCAACACAGGAGCCAGATATATGGAGAAACGTGACTCAAAGAAGTAGGAGGCCCAGGGTTCGCTCTGATTGTTTAGAAATACACAATCGCTTTGAGGTCCTCTCCCCTAGCATGGAAGACGAAGAGCAGACTCCATTTGAGGATCTCTCCCTCATTACAGTCGATCAGGTATATGAAGACAAGCAGCAAAGTCAGTCCTCAGGGAATGTGCAGGCGACCTTGGAACGGACAGCTCACGGAAGAACCCCGACCAAACCTAAGAGGAGGCGTGTAGTGGTGATAGGGGATTCCCTACTGAGGGGAACAGAAGCAGTGATCTGTGGGCCTGACAAGATGTCTCGGGAAGTGTGCTGTCTCCCGGGGCTAAGATCCAAGATGTAACTGAACGACTGCAAGGAATCATAAAACCCACTGACAAATACCCCTTCCTCTTGGTTCATGTGGGAACCAATGACACTGCAAGCAATAGCCTCCAGAAGATCAAAAGAGACTACGAGGCTCTGGGCAGGAAATTGAAGCAATTAAATGCACAAATTGTCATCTCATCTGTCCTCCCAGTTGAATGACGTGGCCCAGGGAGAGAGGGAAAAATAGTGGAAGTGAACAGCTGGCTTCGCAAATGGTGTAAACAGGAACGGTTTGGATTCTTAGATCACGGACTGCAGTTTCTTGAAGATGGACTTCTGGCAAGTGATGGGCTGCACCTCACAACGGTTGGGAGAAATGTTTTTGCCAAAAATCTCAGAAACCTCATCAGGAGGGCTTTAAACTGACTAATGTGGGGGAGGAGACAGTGCTCCTGAAGGTAGGAGTCTATCAATTGATGAAGATGATCATCCAAATGTCATAGACCAAATGGAGCAAACAGCACGCAGACCTAGTGGTGGGAGGAAAAAATCCTTAAATAAGAGACACGGGGGAATGATTAATGGGCTTCAATGTCTATACACTAATGCGCAAAGCATGGGAAATAAACAAGATGAGCTTGAGCTCTTGGTACAGCAAACTAAATATGACATAATAGGCATCACTGAAACCTGGTGGGATAAGTCCCACGATTGGAATGTAATAATGGGGGATACAATCTATTTCAGAGAAACAGACCAGACAAGAAAGGAGGAGGAGTGGCGTTATATGTCAGGGATGTGTATACCTGTGAAGAGATCCAAGATTTAGAACCTCAAAGCCAAAGTGAGAGCATTTGGATCAAAATTAAGGGAGAGAAGAATAACAGTGACCTCATTGTGGGAGTTTACTATAGATCCCCAAGCCAAATGGAGCACATAGATGATGCCTTCCTGGAACAGATGGCCAAGCATGCAAAAAGAAGGGAGATAGTAGTAATGGGGGACTTCAATTACCCGGATATTTGTTGGATGTCAAACTCAGCCAAGAACATAAGGTCAAACAGATTCCTCACTGGCCTTGCAGACAACTTCATTGTCCAGAAAGTGGGAGAAGCAACAAGAGGAACAGCCATTTTAGATCTGGTCCTAACCAATGTTGATGACCTGGTTAGTGGGGTAGAAGTGGAAGGATCATTAGGCGCGAGTGATCATGCTCTTCTGAAGTTTACTATACAGCGGAAAGGAGCAGCCAAGCATACTAGGACTCAATTTCTTGACTTTAAGAAAGCTGACTTCATAAAACTTAGGGAAGTGCTGGGTGAGATCCCATGGACAGTAATACTAAAAGGAAAGGGAGTTCATGATGGCTGGGAGTTTGTTAAGAGGGAGATAGTAAAAGCACAGCGTCAGGCAATACCAATGAGACGGAAACATGGAAGGTGCCTAAAGAAGCCAGGGTGGCTATCTAAAGAACGTTTAACTGAGTTAAGATTAAAAAAGGACGTGTACAAAAAATGGAAAAGGGGGGAAACCACCAAAGAGGAATTCAAACAAATAGCCAGCACGTGTAGACACAAAGTCAGAAAAACTAAAGCACAGAATGAGCTCAGGCGTGCTAGAGAGGTTAAAAGCAACAAAAAAGGCTTTTATGGGTATGTTCGTAGCAAAAGGAAGAACAAAGCAACAGTGGGGTCACTCAGAGGAGAAGGTGGTGAAATGCAAACAGGGGACACAGAAAGGGCTGAACTCCTCAATGCCTTCTTTGCCTCAGTCTTCTCCGATAAAGAAAACAATGCCCGACCTGAAGAATTTGGAGCAAAGGAAGCACAGCAAAGGAAGCACAGCCTAGAATAACTAAGGAGATAGTACAAGAATACTTGGCTAGTTTAGATGTATTCAAGTCTCCAGGGCCAGATGAACTGCATCCAAGAGTATTAAAAGAACTGGCAGATGTGATCTCAGAACCACTGGCAGTCATCTTTGAGAATTCCTGGAGAACAGGCGAAGTCCCGGCAGACTGGAGGAGGGCAAATGTTGTCCCTATTTTCAAAAAGGGAAAAGAGAGGACCCAAATAATTACCGCCCAGTCAGTCTGACATCAATACCAGGGAAGATTCTGGAGCAGATCATTAAGCAAACAGTCTGTGAGCACCTAGAAAGGAATGCTGTGATCACCAATAGTCAGCATGGATTTCTGAAAAATAAGTCATGTCAGACTAACCTGATCTCATTTTTGACAGAATTACAAGCCTGGTAGATGAACGGAACGCAGTGGATGTAGCCTACCTTGATTTCAGCAAGGCATTTGACAAGGTGCCTCATGATATTCTTGTAAAGAAGCTGGTAAAATGCGGTCTTGACTATGCTACCACTCAGTGGATTTGTAACTGGCTGACTGACCGAACCCAAAGGGTGCTCATCAATGGTTCCTCTTCATCCTGGAGAAGAGTGACTAGTGGGGTGCCACAGGGTTCAGTCTTGGGCCCGGTCTTATTCAACATCTTTATCAACGACTTGGATGATGGACTCAAGGGCATCCTGATCAAATTTGCAGATGACACCAAACTGGGAGGGGTAGCTAACACCCCAGAGGACAGGATCACACTTCAAAACGACCTTGACAGATTAGAGAACTGGGCCAAAACAAACAAGATGCATTTTAACAGGGAGAAATGTAAAGTATTGCACTTGGGCAAAAAAAATGAGAGGCACAAATACAAGATGGGTGACACCTGGCTTGAGAGCAGTACATGTGAAAAGGATCTAGGAGTCTTGGTTGACCACAAACTTGACATGAGCCAACAGTGTGACGTGGCAGCTAAAAAAGCCAATGCAATTCTGGGCTGCATCAATAGGAGTATAGCATCTAGATCAAGGGAAGTAATAGTGCCACTGTATTCTGCTCTGGTCAGACCTCACCTGGAGTACTGTGTCCAGTTCTGGGCACCACAGTTCAAGAAGGACACTGACAAACTGGAACGTGTCCAGAGGAGGGCAACCAAAATGGTCAAAGGCCTGGAAACGATGCCTTATGAGGAACGGCTAAGGGAGCTGGGCATGTTTAGCCTGGAGAAGAGGAGGTTAAGGGGTGATATGATAGCCATGTTCCAATATATAAAAGGATGTCACATAGAGGAGGGAGAAAGGTTGTTTTCTGCTGCTCCAGAGAAGCGGACACGGAGCAATGGATCCAAACTACAAGAAAGAAGATTCCACCTAAACATTAGGAAGAACTTCCTGACAGTAAGAGCTGTTCGACAGTGGAATTTGCTGCCAAGGAGTGTGGTGGAGTCTCCAAGCAGAGGCTTGACAACCATATGTCAGGAGTGCTCTGATGGTGTTTCCTGCTTGGCAGGGGGTTGGACTCGATGGCCCTTGTGGTCTCTTCCAACTCTATGATTCTATGATTCTATGATTCAATCCAGGGGTTATGGGTGGGGAGGAAGGGATGAATACTACTTGTAATATAAAAATATTTTGGTTTACAATGGTCATTTCTCTTCATTTATAGGAACATCATCATGAGACTCGGGAATACCTTGACCTGAAATGGGCTGAATCCTGATGACACTGATCTAGCGTAAGCATACTGAACGTGTTAATCCTCTGGAGATGTTGGAAGCTTTTTGCGAGAGAATTTCCTCCAAGCTGTATCACCACACTTTCTGCCTGCAAAGAAAACACTGGATTTCTAAGAAACTAATCTCTCCCTAATGCAGTGGATCTCTCCAGGGCCCCCACCTTACATCTGCTTATGAACCTCAGTGCTTGGTTTGCATTTGATCCAGGAGAATTCCAAGTGACAGGTAGTGTAAACATCCTACACTCTCAGCTGTGTGGAAAAGAAGAAAGCTGGGAGAAGGCTGTTTACTCTCTCTGCCTTGGAAAGCAGCTGAAGGATGAAAACATGGAGATCTTGCAAGTTTGTTTTTTTTCCTAAGCCCTGTTTCGAGCTTGCTGTGTAGCAGTTTGCATGTGTATGTTTTGACGCCAAGTTGAACAAGCCCTGGTGAGTATTTTAAAAATAGAAGTTAATTAGCGTATAATGCTTGTTTTTAAAATTACTTTCAGCATTGTGGGGTGTAATTAGGCACTAAGGAGGAAAAGCTACCCAAAACGTACCTCCATAATATGGGAAGAACCATCTAGTTCAGCACTGTGTTCTCACAACAGCCCACAAGCAAGTTGTGAGGGCCTTAGCACTCTTTCCCACTAGCGATCCAGGATTCAGCCCAGTGTGAATTTAGTAGCTTCACAAATTTTGTGTGCAAGCACTATTCCCAATAACCTACAGTCCTAAGCGTGAGTCTTTATGGTGATTTTGAGGCGTTCTCTGCATGCTGTAGCTATGTGTAACTAACATTTTTTTAGGTTACTTGAAACTGCCTCAGAACTTTCCATATGGTACAGATTCTAGATTGGAAGTAGAATCAGGAAGCATCCAAGAGAAATTGGCCTGTAGTGTATACATTCATTTTTGTTATCTGGTAAACTGGATGTTTTATGAAACTGGGAGACTGGAGCAAATTCAAAAACATTTCCTATTGCTTTCTGGTATCAAACCTCCCCTGCCCCCAGCTGTAGACCAATGAGCTGTGTATTTAATATGCCTCATTATTCTACGCATGTGAAGGAAAACAGTCTAAATGTTTTGTTTTGAGATGACGGTCACTTGGAGGTTCCTGGGCTCACATTTCCTGGAGTCTTTGTTATAACTTCATCTCTGTTAGAAAGGAAATGGAAAGTTGCTTTTAAAAAATAACCCTGTGCTGCACTAGGGGTGGGGTTGGGGGGGGATATCTGGCAGGATTTTTTCTTTTCTTTTTGAAGTGCCAAATCCTTTCAAGTGGTTGAGAAGAGAGAGGATTAAAAGTGAATAATGTTAAAGACAAATTGAAGTTGATGCTTGACTTGTCAGTCTCTGGAGTTTCCTGAACAGACTGAATGAAATGTTTTTCAGTTGAAGCCCACAAAGAATTTTTTAAAAAAGAAGCTGAATGGAGAACAGCAAGGATTTGCATCCTTGTGTCCAGTTTCGTTCCTGGCTTACTAGTAATTATTCCGTTCCTGAGGAATCTTGGCAGCTGAAGAAAATGGTCCAGTTCACAGGACAGGATTTTGACTGTGAATCCTTTGAAAAGAGCTATTCCTAGCTGGATAAAAAGTACAGTGAGGAACAAAAGGGTGGGATAAAAGCAGTATGCGTGTGTCTCGTGCGTATGCATTGCCTTAATTGTAAAGACAGTAATGTTTTTTTAAAATAATAATAATTGTGGAGGTATTTTCCCATGTGCAGGAATTAATATTTTCCTCCATTGGATGAGATACGGGATATAAATAAATTAAAGTGATCAGATGTCTTATCAGCTGTGTGTGTGGCCCACCTTGACAAAACGCTGTACTTAAATGTAAAACGTTGCACATGCAGCTTTGTTGAACTGGGTTACATTTTATGCAAAGCAGTCCTCTTGGCATCGAGGGAATGGGCATGCACACACGGACCCCATTCTTTGCTAGCTTCTATAAGAGCTTTCGGAAGCATTTGCTATGCTTGATCACGACATTGTTTTGATCTGTTTGAAGCAGCTGGTGACATGGTTCAAAGCCAAACCCAAGCCAGCTCTTTACACATAACAATTTGTAATTGCGTCCAGAGTTGTGGGGATAGGGGAGGGGCTCAGGCCAAATAACCTGACTGCTCCCCAAGCAATCGGGACGACTGAAAGGAGATCAGGTCTCACTGGATTCCCTCCTCTCGAAGGATCATTGTGTGTATTCTTATGATACGCTATACTGCCATCTTACGTTTTCAGGTGTTTAGTGTTGAGAGACCTTTTACAGACTTGCCAGCAGCTAAATAAATTTTAGTGTAGTTTTCGTTTCTTGGTGCCGCCCTCATTGTCTGTCACTTTTTCACCATTCTTATGTTTACTCTGTAAAGAAACACGTGGTTGGGATTGACCTGAAGTTACAGGCGCACACACCACGTGCGGTAATTTGTATGCTGAGCATCATAACTATAGCAAGTTAAGAGGTGGTCAGTATATTCATTTCTCTTTTAACAATGTAAGAAACTCTTCGCTGGATCAAGCCAAAGGCCCATCTGTTCAGGCTTTCTGTTTGCACAGTGGCCAACCAGATGCCTATGGGCAGCCCGCAAGCAAGTCATAAACATATCAGCCCCTCTCCTATCTGTGATTATCTGCAACTGGTGTTCAGAAGTATACTGCCCCTGATAATGGAGCTGGTGCAGTCACATGCTTGCAGTAGTTATGCAGACAGAACGATTGGAAGAGTGCAATGTTTAATCCCACTCTCTGTTCTCACAGGGATTTTATTTTTAAAAGACCTAAGTTTGTCTTAAGTCATTCATTACCTCCCTGGTCTGTCAGGCTGTCTTTAACAGCAACTCAACGTGCTCCTCCATATAATGGTGTTACTGATCAAAAGCCCAGAATTTGTCTTGAATAAGGGTTATTATGAAAGAGTAGGGATGCCACCTGAACACTGTCCATATTTCAGTTTTGTTTTTGCTTTCGAGCCTCCCAAGCACACCAGAACTGGGTTGTTCCAGGCCTCGCTCCCATTCACAGTGTCCGCCAGTGTATTGTGCAGGTATTTTCAACCTAAGCACGATGCACCTCAGCTTTGCAGATAATTAAATGCAGCTTGTATCTGTCACACACAATTTCATAACCTTGATAATGATTCATATATTAAGATGAGAAGGGGTAATTGAAATAAGAACATACTTTGGGTAAAAAGGGAAAAAAAACATTCTTCTAAAAGAAGGAATAATATCCATCTTATGGATTTTTCGAGGACGGAACTTGTTTAACTCTGCAGGCTACAAAGCTTCCTTCTAAATGAAAACAATGGTTACATACGTTTTGTTCATCAAAATCTTTCTATTATGCCTTTTGATATGTCTGAAAAAATACAGTGGTATTCAGGTTACATACGCTTCAGGTTACACACACTGCTAACCCAGAAATAGTGCTTCAGGTTAAGAACTTTGCTTCAGGATAAGAAAAGAAATCGGGCTCCGGCGGGGCGGCAGCAGCAGGAGGCCCCATTAGCTAAAAGTGGTGCTTCAGGTTAAGAACAGTTTCAGGTTAAGTATGGACCTCCGGAACGAATTAAGTACTCAACCTGAGATACCAATGTAAAATTTAAAAAAAAACCACAGGGAAACGATTATTGTAAAACTGTAGAAACATTAAGGAGCTAAAAATACAGCAACCATAGTTAGTTAAGCAGCAGTAAACTTCCAATACACCTGAAAACTTTCTGGAATAAAACTACTCTTTGCCCTGGTGCCAAGAAGCCATCATGGATGAAGTAGAGCCAATTCCAGTGAGGAAGAAGTGCCATGGAATGTGTCACTTCTGAGAAGCCTCTTTTATCTTCTAATCTAATATATCCCAAAGGGAATAGTTTACCCTCTGAATGCCTCAGATCTTTGTGGCTGTGCATATTTCTCCAAAGCATGTAACATGTGGCGGGGGGTGGGGAGTCTTTGTAGCCGCATTCGTCTCAATCCTATGCAGAATTGGGTGCACATAAGTCCATTTATTTTCAATATGTGCATGAGCAATGTTCAGAGCTTTTGACCTCGTTCTTCAAACTCATTGCCAAAAAGATCTGAGGCCTGACAGCGTTCTTTAGAAAACCTTGTTCTTTAGAAAACCTTGTTTACTGTTTGGGATCATTGGTTGCTCTATGACCAGTCTGTTAAAAAGCAATGGAAAATTTAAGGTAAGAGGCCCTGCATTTGCAATTGCATGATTGCAGATGGTTGCTTCATGCATGCTTTATGGATGCCACCAGAGGGCAATGCAGTTCTTTCACAAACTTAAAAAGGTCTCTTGTTTAAGATTCCGTGAGTTGATAACACAAATCTGACTTGCCCATGGAAGTGTGAAGTTTTGAACTATATGCTGAACTTGGAATTTCGCAGACGTAGGTAAGGAGCCAGGCATTAAAAATGGATGTAAGGCCTAGAGCTTCATATAGGTGACTTTGGGAAAGGAAAACTTGAAATACACAATGTGACTTTCCTTGATAGACAGTGGGGGATACTCAGCATCAAGGCCAGTGTATTGTGTAAACACAGCAATAACCCTACAGCCTCAGATCTGTGTTCAGCCCTCAAGTCTGAATGGGCAGATCGTCATCTTGGCCACAAGCCGAAAATTTATGTAAGAATTTTAAAGAGCTACTCACTTTTATTTTAAAATAAGTCACACCGGGGTGGCTAACCTGTGGTCCTCCAGGTAAAGGTAAAGGGACCTCTGATCATTAGGTCCAGTCGTGACCGACTCTGGGGTTGCGGCGCTCATCTTGCTTTATTGGCCGAGGAAGTCAGCATACAGCTTCCGGGTCATGTGGCCAGCATGACTAAGCCACTTCTGGCGAACCAGAGCAGCACACAGAAACGCCGTTTACCTTCCTGCCGGAGCGGTACCTATTTATCTACTTGCACTTTGAGGTGCTTTCAAACTGCTAGGTTGGCAGGAGCAGGGATCGAGCAACGGGAGCTCACCCCGTCGCAGGGATTCGAACCGCCGACCTTCTGATCGGCAAGTCCTAGGCTCCGTGGTTTAACCCACAGCGCCACCCACGTTAGACTCCAATTCCCATCAGCCCCAACCAGCATGACACATGGTTAGGGGTGATGGAAGTTGTAATCCACAAACATCAGGAGGGCTAAACTGCTTTATAGTGCATTATCAACACATAACAACCTAGTTGATATTTCATTTAAATTATATCATGGCTTGTTTTAGAAATACTGGTTGATAATCTTGCCACAGGCTGAAGGCAGTTCTTTTCCCAGGAATATCTTTCATGGTTGCTCTGTTGTTGCTTCTCCCTTGTGGCTGATCGTTTGCGTAATGTCTTCAGTCCCACAGGACTGGAGTGGCTTATCGTGCATATTTGAACCACTGACCCAGAGAAGGCTGTGCTAGTACTTGACACAGCAAAGCATTGCACCATACTAGAACAGCATTAACAATATGTAAATGTTTTGTTCCCAAGCTTAGGCAACTAAAACCTGCCAAAAGAGAAGCAATGCAATTTTTTTTGTTTTTGTTTTTTGGCGAGGGATTTAAATACTCCTCTGTATAGAATAGTATTCATAAATAATCCTTGCACACAGAAACGCACCCCTTTTTTTGTTTCCATGCAAAAGCATTTCATCTCTCGTGTATGTGTTTCTGTAACTATTTTTGTAAAGCTTTGCTTAAGTTGTTGCTTCAGTTTTCTGTACGCTGCTCAAGAGATATTTTGATTATAGTAAGCGGTATAGAAATTAAATAATCAAGATGCAGGGAGCCTGTAGCCCTCCAGATGTTTAAGACTATACCTCCCATTATCCCTGACCTTCCGTCATTCATGATAGGAGTCCAGAAACAGCTGAGAGGCTGCAGGTTCCTCAGCCTTGCCTTTTGTGAACTGCTTGCACTCTAAAAATGAGTGCAGCCTGGTCACAAGTTTACCATCTCATCTGTGCTTTGGTGATAACCATATCTTAAGTTTCAATACCTTTTCCCCTCTTGATTTGGATCTACCTGACACTGGTGTGGAATCTCTCTGCCTTGACACCTGGGTAAGACATTGATCTGTTTGGCAGGAGAAAAGGTATGCCTATTCCACATTATTGCAACCTGCTTCGCTTTTTGCCTACACCTAAATTGACAAATCGGGTACATGTGCAGCTAAATGTATGATAAATTAAGCAAATGTAAAACTGGTTCTTCTAAGTGATGATGCATGTGGAACACTTGACTGCTCAGACTTTGGGGGGGGTTGTATTTGGAAAAATAATGAATAGACACTGTCAATCTTCATATTATTTGCGTCACCTGTGCCCATCAACTGCATATGACTTCTTCCAAGCAATCTGAACACTGCAGCAGCACCGCCTGTTCAGTTCTTACTTATCCGCAGTTTCCTCGGCAACCAACAAGCAATCCCAGAAACAGATTCCACACAATGGCAAGAAACCAAAAAAAAACCCTCCTAAGCAACACTTCCAGTTCTTTGGCAGCTCTATTTTTAATGTTAGAAATGAAAACTCTCTTAAGATACCATTCTTTGAAGTACCATAGTGGAGAACACATAATACTAAAAAGAGCCAATGGCAGTGGGGTGGGATGTTATCTCTAATGCCAGTCCTTCTTAAGAGGACAGAGGAACCTATCGTGCAAGAAAAAGGCATTTTTTTGTATTTGTAAATAGCATGAAAATGAACTCCCTCCTCTGCTGCCATGCTTTATAAAGTAGATTCCATCTGTGGTTTTTATCCTTGGTTCCTGATTTACTAACGTTTTAGGTCGGAAAAAGGTTGGCCACAAAAGGTCAGGTTGCCCTGCCCCGCCCCTTCCTTAGTTCTCATGTGTCTAATTTTCTGACACTTTTTGAGGCTGGAACAGGAACAGTCCTAAGTTCTTTTCTGCAAACTATGAAGATGAATATATTCTTGATGTGCAAATATTTGATGTCATTTCAATAGATATTTCACATTACAGTGGTACCTCTGGTTATGTACTTAATTCGTTCCGGAGGTCCGTTCTTAACCTGAAAATGTTCTTAACCTGAAGCACCACTTTAGTTAATGGGGCCTCCCGCTGCTGCTGTGCCGCTGGAGCACAATTTCTGTTCTCATCCTGAAGCAAAGTTCTTAACCTGAAGCACTATTTCTGGGTTAGCGGAGTCTGTAACCTGAAGCGTTTGTAACTTGAGGTACCACTGTAGTTGACTTCGGCAGATCTACTGAATTAGTCTCTTCTTGTTTGCGAACTGTTTCCATAACAGCTGTTAATTATAAGAATAATTATTTAACATAATTTGTGCCTGTGTTTGTTTTTACACCCTTCCTTCCTTCCTTCCTTGTGACACAACTACTTAGATTGTAAGTGACCATGGACATTCTTATTTTATTTGACTGAATGTAAGCTGGGAGCCTTTGTGGGCGAAGAACTGAGTAAAATGCCTATAGTAATAATTCATTCATTTACATGTGCAGTAAGATACCATGTAATGTGCAGCCTGGCATTTCCCACACAGGCATAAGTAAGTTTATTTACATGCCACATTTCCCACAAATTGTGCTTGAAGTGCTTCACATAATTTAGAAAATTCAAGTACATCAGTAGGCGTAATACATAATTTTACCTCTACAGTGTAATGTTTGACTGTTCAACACCAATTCATTTCAAAGTACAAAAAATGGTTAAATGAGTATAAAACGGGTAGATAACAAAGTAGGTATCCTCCAGAATTAGACTATAACATCCATCAGCCCCAGCCAGCATGGCCAATAATCAGGAATGATGGGAATTGTAGTAAAACAATATCTGTGGGGTGGGGTGGGCCACTATGTTGGGTACTCCGGTATAAAACATGGCAGTAGGTCAGTTAACAATGCCCAATACCAACAGCATCCACATTATATGCACCCTAAGTCATCCATTCAGTTCATATTAAGAATGCTGCAAATAAGAGACAGCCCAAATCAATTACCCTTAGCAACAGTTACCAACCAAACAAGGCCAAATGTACTGCTGAACAACGAAAAGGCCCACTGTTGTCCTAGATCAGGGTTTCCCAAACTTGTGTCTCTAGCTGTTCTTTGACTACAATTCCCATCACCCCTGACCACTGGTCCTGCTAGTGAGGGATGATGGGAGTTGTAGTCCCAAAACAGCTGCCCAAGAGGAGAGGTTCCATCAACAGAGAGACATCCTCTTCTCAGCAAAGACCCTTGCCTTGAGCAACTGCTGAGGTATGTTTTGAGCTATTAATAAGCCTATTGTAGAACGCCATTTGAGCTCAAAGAACTAAACTTCAGTTTTAAAACCAACAGAGGGCAAATGATTGTAGGACAAGCAAGTTCAGCCAGAAGAACAGGAGTTTTCAGCAATATGTCGTGGTGGGAGGAGCCTTCAGCCACAATCCCTGGTATGAGGCAAGTGTGCCCCTCGTCTTTGAAAGAAAGACGCTTGTGCAGTAACCATGAGGCATAATTGCGTTTCGAAGGAAGATTTTGTTCTGCTCATGAGGCTCTTGTTTCTGCCATGCCTGACAGGAATCACTTCTAGAAGAAAGTGGTATTTTTAGGTTGAGGTATAATGAGATCCTTCCTTGCTTTCGGCATAATTGTTAAGAAATATACATTTTGTGTGTGTGTACAAAATTGGATAGAAGTGCTGACAGGCTGGCGTTCATAGCTGCTGACACCAACTTTCTGAGCATAGGCCATACACATTCTGCTGACACCAACACTCTCCTTGGGAACAGCTGGCAATGCCTGCTGATCCCTTCCCTCAGAGCACATCCCAGCCATTGACTATGTAGATGGTTTTAAAGTATCACCCCTAATTTATTCATTACCTGAAGTAGTGAAAATCTTAAGGCAAAATGTCCCTACATCTCTTAACTGCATTCCTAAGCACTTTCCCCTGCTCTTAACATGCCAACATCGCTGTGATGCGGGGAAGAATTACCATGTACAATCCTTCCAGTTAGTGTGGTTGATTCACAATATAGGTTTGTATTGTGACTCTATTTACACATGAGTTATATTCATTGGACTGAATAATTCCATTTAAAAACTGGTCCAATGTTGAAACCTTATGGATGGGGCACAACAGTTCTGGACTTAATTTGGTTGCCTAATATGCAGCAAACGAGAATAAACAAACATGCTGTGATCAAGTGAAGGCCTTTTCAATCAGCCTTGATTTCATTAGATGGGTTTAGAGGTAGAATACAGATTAGTATTAACCTGCCCTTGCCTTAATTTAAGGCCAAACTTATAATTTGCTGTATTATTCTACAATAAATGGAAATTGAGTATTTTGGTCCCCCCCCCCCCCCGTGTAGTCCACACTCAGTCTAAATCTATTGCATTTAATATTTTATTTTTATTTTTATTTTTCCTCTGAAAAGTGCTTCTTGAGATACTGGTTTCGTTCCAAAAATAAAAACTCATTGCAAATTGATTCTGCGTTACCCTACAGAGTGTACATTAGAAAGCAAATGAAAACAGATGTAGGCAGATGTATTCACACCTGCTCAGTGACATGGATGGGCATATACCAAGATCACAACCGCAATGTCCTTCATTCACTAGGGACATGTGCAGGGAGGAAAAAAGGCATAGGTGTTCAAATGCATATCAAGTAGCCATACCTACCCACCCAGTGGAGCTGAAATGGATGTGCTCTCTATGTATTATCCAGGTGCTTTTCGTTTACCGAAAGAAAATTGTAAATGGCTGAAGTTTGAGGACCCTACTTACTATTCTGCAGAGGACAATGTCCTAGAACGACTACATTATAGGTCTACTTCCCTGTGAATTTTGCCATGAAAAATGCATCTGGGGTGTAATTTCTTCCCCAAAGGTCTGGGTTAGTGTTAATCCCAAAGTAAAATACTGCTTTAAAACGTTACTATACTTGTATCTTGCTGAAGTTTTTTTAATCCACACACACATACAGCCTTCAATTTCATTCATGAAGGTACCATACCTTTTCCTCAATGTTTGCTCCCTTGAGTCGAATGAGATTGATTCTTCTCACCTTGCGTTGAGCAATACTTTTAAGTAATGGTAACTGCAGGGATTTGGTTTCTATTCCCCAATATTAAGAACATGTATAATAATATAAAATATGGCCAGTAGGTCAAACATCAGCTTGTGAACTATTCAATAAAATTGTAATTTATTTCAATATTCTTAAGGAAAAATAAATGAGAGTTCCCTGTTCCAGACAAATTCCCAGACATTAATGCTTCCTCTACCCATGGGCCCTGATATATTTCCCCCTCAGCAATGGGAGCCCTCCTTGTGAAACACTTCCTATACAGAAGCTCACTGGGCCCACTTAATCACCTTTCACAGCTTGGCAAAAACCTGACTGCTTAGATGTATTTGACTGCCGTGTCTATTAATTTTTAATCTTTGCTATTTATGTTTTGGGAGGGAGCTAGCTATGGGTTGTATCTTAAGTTCTCCTCAAAGTTGACCAACATGAGTCCATTAATTTTAATGGGTCTTCTCTGAGTCGAATGTTTGTTGGCGGGGGGGCCGAGCCCCTGCGCCAATCTTGAGGGGTCAGAGGAGGCTGAAGCTGCACCGTGCTGGGCTGTGCACTCCGCTTCCTCCCAAACAATGTGCATGTGCTGTGGCCTGACGCCACTGCCAGCCCCCTGCCTGCAAACATGCCTAAACCGCCTTGGTCTGCGCTGCCACCCACCCGCAAGTGTGCCCAGGCCACCTTGGTGGGCTGCATCATTGGGAGGAAGCTTCTTTCAACTGCTTGGTTGTTGGTTTTTTGGTCACTGGTCAAGTGTTTTGAGAAATAAAAGGCTGCAAAAGACTTCCAGTGATAGGCTGGAATCACTCAGAGGTCTACTCTTACACAACATGGACCCTTAGGCCTGTGAGGGGAAGGTGAAGCAGCAAGGCATGAGGAATTATGGGTAGCAGTAGCAACTGGGAAGGCAGCTACAGAAGGGCTCTCATAATTCGTGCAGACTTCAGTGCTAAAGTAGGACGGAATTAGTACTGATTTAGAGTAGGGCAGTGTAAATGTGGTGACTGATTGGAGTTGTTGTTTCTTTCAAGGTGGCCTGTAAGCATACACAGTTACTGCCATAATGAAATTATCCTAATGAAGGCATTGGGTCACTTTTACTACTGGATTATCTATTTTATACGTACAGCTGGGATGTATTACCCTGAGTGGAGAGGAGACATTTGTTAAATTGATTCGGCAGACTCATTTTATGTATTCTTAGTATAAGAGCTTCAGCTCTGATTAATAGGCCACGTGCAGTTGCCATCTTAAGTTTCAATACCAAATAATTTGTGACGCTGCTTATTCAATGAGGGAAGTTTTCAAAATGCCACCTGCTATGTTCCTTTAAGCCTTTCAATGGCAAGCTATTCTGAAGCACTCTAAAATGAAAATGTATTTACTTTCCCCATGCAAATCTGAGAATGAGGCACTTATTTCCCCCTCCCCCATTTTGTTCACTCAGCTTCTGTTTGCATGTGTTGCAGATATAAGTTTGTGCTGGCTCTTATCAAATTAGGCTGAGTTCTGGACTAACCCATCAGATTGGTCCTCTTTGCCAACAACCTTTATATTTTAACATGGCAAAAAATAATAATAAAAAATAATATAGCATATTATTTTAAATACACACACAACTGTTTGTGGGCTATTTAATCCAGATTTTTAACAAATTGTCTGGAGTCTGTACCCCAGTATAACTATCACAAGATTGCTGAGCTTTCTACAGAACCTTTTCATATGGATTATTCATAAGAAAGAAGGCATAGATGTTTGCAGCCATCTCTTCAGGTGGCATCTTGTCTTCAAGTCTGATGTTTCTGCTATTAAAATACCAGGCTAGTGCACAGTAAGACCACTCATTCATGATTGAGCACCATGTGGGGTGGGGAGGAGTCACTGTTGAGGAAGCATGCATGAGAAGATTGTGATGTAAGGGTATCTTCGCATACAAGTGATAAATTTTCTGTTGCTTCCTCCAGTAGCTGTAAATCTGCATTGGCCAGAATGCTCATTTGCATTACAAATGCCCACTCCTCAGCTTTTCTCTTGAGCAGAGGTTAACAATAATAGTATCTCAAAAGTGACTTGGAGTCTTGCGTGTGGAAACAGGTAACTGGTGCCATCCCAGAACGCCTGCAGCACTATCATTTTTTGCATTTTTGTGAAGGATTTTACTTATTGTACGTAAGCTACTCTGGGAGCCAATCTTACCTGAAATACATGATACAAGTATGATCTTAAGTACATATGTATCTAATAAAGCAAAGTTAAGGGGGTGTTGAATTAAAACAAAGTTAGGGAGGTGGTACTCTTCTTCAGAAAATAACTACTTTTCAGAGAATCAAAACTGCTAAATTGCTTCAGTTCAATGCATGTGCTCCTATAACTGCACACAAATGAAATAACGTTTGCTTAGTAGGGGAAGAGACTTAGCTCCAGGCAACCTTGTGTACACGGAGAAATCAAGTCCCTCACTTGTTACATTTTGATAGATTTAATCGTTCATCTTTAGAAATAGCGATAGAAGCATGCGGAGACTTGACAAAGTTTGCTGGTGGCTCAAATCAATGCCAATGTCTGTGGCAAAATAGATTCAACGTCTACTTGTTAGAGTATCTGTTTTTGTAGAAACTGTGCAGAAGTGAAGGGAGCTGGGAGGGGTGGTATGCTGTGCTTCGAAACCTGCGCTGAGAGTGAAGGAAGGCCTGTGAAGAAAAAAATCAAAGATGCTAATCCCAAGTACACCAAAAGCAAGTTTTGCTTAGGTTTTTTTAAAAAATAAAATAAAAATGCATCTGTAGTCACTTTACATATGTTGCGTGGCATCCCAATCTCCAAGCGGTGGAAGATTCCAAGTGTTCCAGACATGCTTACCCAGGATCCATGTTTCCTTTTGGAAATGAGGCACAGCAGAGACTGTGGTATCTTTAGGATATATGGTTTCTTTACAGACATGCATATAACCTGGCCTGCAATGGAGGGCATCACAGCAACAACACTCCAGTAGGGTCTTGCTTCTCCCATAGGTACAGCTCTGGATTCAAACCTGCATCAGCCATGGCTCTGACCCTCTCCTCAGCTTGCCGCCTTTAATGGACTGCCACCTTTTCCCTCCCAGCCACATTCCAGCCAACTCTAAACTCTGAATACTGACTTTTGTTCTTCTAATTAACTCTGAGCAGAGGGAGAGGTTCCACCCACTTGCTGTCTGGCAAAGATGTTGCCTTCTTAAGGGGTCATTACCTTCCCTTTCTTAATGGCTCGTCTCCCAGGCAATTCAATAGAATCTGTGCTGAATCCAGGAATTAGAAGGGAGATCCAGGCATTTAGCCTACCACCCACAAAACCCCTCATAACACTTAATAATAACTTGAGAACAAGAAACAGTTACACGCATGAACAGAAAGAGGCTGGAGTTTACACAGTTAAGGCAGACACTGGGTTACAGACATTAAAAACGCACTGTTGGGCATTTTCCAAAGTCCCTCCAGAAAGAAGCGTGGTGTCCTGGCTCCCTGGGATGAGACACATAAACTCAGATGCTGATGATTTTCAGAAGCTTTAATGCTCAAATACAGTGCATATGCAAATCACCAGTCAAAGACACAACAGGCAGTATTCATCAAGGAACACTAAGGAAGCTGGCCACAGCTATTGCCATAGTTGCTCCCAAACATCATTCTCTACTGCTTTATTTCAACAGAAAACAATTGTCTTTCTAAGCTTCCATTACATCTGTAAAGTGACATTCAGGAAAGCTGAACTGTCAAATGAATATTGTCTCCCCTGTGTGGTTAAGTTGTCGTCTGCCTGCTGGGATGAATTTGCCAACTGCTTTTGTGGAGAGAAATCACTTGTAGTCAGTTCTAGTTCATCAGCACAGCACGGGAGTATAAGAGGCTAAACTTCCTCCTGCCTATTTAGATCAATTTCAGTCTATATTGCTCACCAATGTAAAGAGTGAGCATTACTCTTGCATCATTGCTAGCGGGAAGATCACAGAAAGTGATGAAGGTCATTTGCTGGTCACAGTCACAATGTGACTTTAGGACCTGGATGTAGACAAGGCCAATGTAAGGATGATTGGCAGGTCCTTGTGCTAACATTGACCAAATTAAGCCTTTTTAAAGACTCGTCTGGCACTGTAGGAACAATCCCCTGGAAAGGGGTGACTCACATTAAATTGGTTCTTCAGCATCTGCACAGTCTCCACAGCGGCCTGATTTGCACAAAATGCTAAACCATTGTTTAAAATTAAACTATGGCTTAGCCAGAACTCATCAGAAGTCCCCAACACATTCCCTCCCTGCTTCTTCCTATGCTGCAGAGGAGGAAACAAACAATAGGCTAGTTTGCAGGCTACCTTGTTTGTTTTCTCCTGCAGTGCAAAGGAGGAGTCGGGTGGAGAGCTCTGTGGTTTCCCTTGTTGCGGCGTATATACTAAGCTTGCTATGTGCTCAGTTTAAATCATAATTTAATTTTCACTGTGGTTTTAATGTGGTGTGCGACTGTTGCCTCTCTCCCGTCGTATTCTCTTAGATTTGCTGAAAACATCTCAACTCTTTGACAAGCCCAGAGAGCAGGGATACGCAGAGAGGAATTGTTTGTGAATCCTCTGCAGCTAAGGTAGCATCCTTTCCTTCAAAACACACTCAAGCTTATTTTTTTGGTTTGTTTGTTGTACTAGATGCATTGCATGATCACTTTAGTAGCACTCTTATCTGAGGTTGGATTTAAGCCGCCAAGTAAAAAGCAGAATTCTAAAATACATTCCTTTTGATTTTTCATTTTTCATTTGTGTTGGCAGTTTAACTCATGCTGAGTCCTAGGGATGGGGCAAGATACATATTTCAAACTATAGGAAGGATAAATTAGAACTAATATAAAATGAAATGCAGACTTTTAGGATTCTTACTGAATTGTTAGTTAGCATAATAAAGCATAGCCAATAAAGCATACTCAGCTGGAGGAATAAGAACTTTAAAAAATAATAATTCTCAAGACTTTAATATTTTTGCTAGGACACATTTCAATTTTCTTTTCCCAATATTTCTTTTCTAGCTCTTATTTCATTTCCCTCTCTCATCCCATACTATTGTTGCACAGTGAGGAAAAAAATTAATTTAGTCAGGTTGTTGTGCAGGGGAAGCTGAGAACACATAGTGAAAAATCTATCTCAGTATTTCCACATAGTGTTTTCTGAGTTACACAACACTCCCCCAACCACCATGCTCAAGATGTTTAAAATGGCCTCTCTCTCTTTCCCCCCCAAAGAAATGTCTAGAAAGTTGTTGGGCTACCAAATGTAGATTTTATTTGCGGAAGACTGACTTTCTTTCAATAACTCGCTCTCAAAAGTGTTTTGCACTGGGTACCTCTGTATATAAGTACAGTGGTACCTCAGGTTACAGACGCTTCAGGTTACGTGTTTTCAGGTTGCGGATTGTGGGAAACCCAGAAGTACCAGAAAGGGTTACTTCTGGGTTTCGCCGCTTGCACATGTGCAGAAGCGCTAAGTCGCGTCACGTGCGTGTGCAGACACGGTGCTGCAGGTTACGAATGCTGCGGGTTGTGGACGTGCCTCCGTCACGGATTACGTCCGCAACCCGAGGTTCCACTGTAGTATGCAGGGCCTGTGTCACAAATAAATATAGCAGTCAGGAAGAAAGTACTTGAGAAGTAATGGCTGCAGCCTTAGTCATGAACTCACAGTAATGTACATAACCTCTTGTAGGTCAGGGGTGGGAAACCAGTTTTCTCCAGATGTTGTTGAACCACAGCTCACATTAGTCCCAGTTGTCCCAATTAACATCTGGAAGGTCACACGTCATGTCCCCCCTCTGCTGTGGAATTCACAATTAGCGTGTATGTGTGTTCTACAAAAAAATACATGTTAGTGAGTGTGAAATAGTAGTTGGGCGACGAAATAGTAGTTGTTTGACAAAAACTGAAAGATGCTTTTTCAGCTATGAAGATCAATGTATTTCACCTTGAGCCATCCACTGTCAGCCTAATCCGACCTCACAGAGTTTATTATGAGCTCAACCGGGGGTAGAGAAAAGAACCTCATATGCTGTCTAGAGCTCCTTGGAGGTAGGATGAATAAAACTGCAATGACTCCAATAAATAGCATAGCAACAAGAAATTCTTGCCCTTGTGTTGTTACAGATGTGGCATTGTCCACTGATGTAGGTGGCTTTAAAAGTGGATTTAATAAATACATGGAGGTAGACATCTGACTTTCATGTAGAGCCTTAAAATGCAACTCATTAAAGCATAGCAAACAGAACTGTGTAGCCAGCATAATTTACGCCAAGGTACATTATGCTGGCATAACATAGAGGGAAGTCTGCCCCTGCCCTGTGCCACCTCACCGCTCCCTCACAATACTCCTTTTGAAAAGGAACTTAACCCATCTGAGCTAGGATTTATGCCAGGGTATCTCTAGCTGAGCTGGGATGACAGACTTCAGTCGACATAGTCCCACCTGAACCCAGGCTGGAGCTCTGCCTGTTCCAATGTCTGCTCATCCTGGCAGATCTTAGGTTTGGATTCCTCCCTAAATTGTTGAAATGTTATTGTTTGCTGAAGTAACTCTTTGTAAAACAGCAAGTAATGGTATTCCGACGATTCCAAATCAATTTAATTTAGAAAATGATGGGAGCTCTTACTTGGGAACTGGTGTCTAAAGGGAAAAAGCATCATTACATGAAAGAACTGCAATGCCATTTAACTGAAGTTTCATATTTTCTTGATTGTTAGAAATATAAAATATGCTTTATAAACTAATGCTCAAGGCATTGCTTAAAAAATCAAATGCTAGCAGGAAAACCACATCAAGGATATAATTTAAATACACAGGCAGTTTAAAAGCATACTACTCAACTCCCTCTTGCTTAGCATTGGCTGCTAAACATTTTCATAAGCATAAGCAAGCTTTTTTTGGGGGGTAGTAGTAGTAGTAAATGTGACAGAAATGCAACTGAATGTGATTTTTGTGTGTGTTCATGGATAAAAGGTAGTAGTAATGGTATTCAATTATTATTATATTACGACAAAGTATTAATAAAACCATCAGCAAATTATTAATTGAATTATATACATAATACTTAAGGTGGCAATTTTATTCCAATTCCACAGCGTGCCTAAGGTAGGTCTGCTTTGCTACCTCTCTGTGCGGTGGGCAACACTGAGGAGCTGAAATGCAGAGCAAATTTTGTCTTCCTAATGGAAGCTTCACAGACTGTGCAACTCAGCTGTCTGTGAAGTGACATGTTTGGGCACTAGAGCAAGTAGCCTCTGAGTGCGTCTGCTCCATAAGATAGCATATTGCGTAACGTTTGAAAGGGGAGGCTTATATCCCAAGCCTATATTTGCAATTTAGAACTGAAGTTGTTGTCTGTTCCACCCCAGCAGCTTGTCGGTATCTGTGGCATGGTCCTGTGATCCAATAAAACCGCACAGGCTTTCCAAAATACAGAGTGACAGTGTAGAGGAAATAGGCACAGTGTTGTGCACAACAATGGAAAATAGAAAGCTTAACCATTTGATGTTCACGTGCCATTAGCTGTATACTCCAAAGACAGCATGGGCAGGAGGAAAACCCTAATAACTAAACCTGCACACCGGAGGAGACATAGCGTCCACAAAAATTATTATGTGCAAGAGTCTAGGATAACTTGCTTCAGAAATTGGCAGGATCACTGTGTGACCGATCCATGCTTCCTTGCACCTCCAGCTGTTGAGTAGTTAGAAATGCCTTCTGTTCCTTCTGGTTTCCTGGAGGTCCTTTATGTTCACTTTGCATCTGCTTTGAACACAGCTCAGGGCCAAGTTACATGTCCTTGAGTTAACCTTGCAGGCCTGCTTCATTGATATCCTATGCTGTTGTAGACAATACGTGTGAGTATTTATGCTTATATCCCATCTCTCCTCCAGAGCTCAAATTGTTGTCCACAGCTCTGACATATTATGAGAGGGTGGTATGTACTTTTATAGATAACTAGTTACAGGTTGGTAGCCGTGTTGGTCTGCTGTAGTCGAAACAATAAAATAATCCCTTCCAGTAGCACCTTAGAGACCAACTAAGTTTGTTATTGGTATGAGCTTTCGTGTGCATGCACACTTCTTCAGATACAGTGGCACTTCGGGTTAAGAACTTAATTCTTTCTGGAGGTCCATTCTTAAGCTGAAACTGTTCTTAACCTGAGGTACCACTTTAGCTAACAGGGCCTCCCGCTGCTGCTGCACTGCCACCATGCAATTTCTGTTCTCATCCTGAAGCAAAGTTCTTAACCCGAGGTACTATTTCTGGGTTAGCGGAGTCTGTAACCTAAAGCATCTGTAACCTGAAGCATCTGTAACCCGAGGTACCACTGTAGACTGAAGCAGAAGTCAGCAGACCCTTATATATAGTGAGAGGGTGGGGAGGGTTATTACTCAGAAGGGTGGTGGGAGTGGGTGATTGGCTGATAGATGTGGTAAACCTGTTGACAACTGTTAACGACTGCAGTTGGTCTTAATGGGAAAAAGCAAGGGGTGAGATGGCTAAAAATAGCTTATCATGTATAGATAAATAGTCCATCTGATGCTGTATTATGCTTGTGGCCAGGAAACCTTGCCCCTACGACATTGGAAAAGGACTGCAGCTCAGTGGCATGCTATTTGCTCTGCATGCAGAAGGTTCCAGATTCAATCTCTGGCATCTCCAGGTAGGGCTCTGAGAAGGGCTTCTTTCTGAATCCCTGAAGATCCACTGCCAGCCTGAAGAGTTAGGTGGATCAATGGTCTGACACACTGATAAGGCAGTGTCCTGTGTTCCTGTGGAGGACAGTATAAAGGAGAAGGAAACAATGTTTGGGATAAGGTCCAGTAGAAGGAAGTGGGAGCTCAGGAAGGCGGAAAAAGGTAAACAGTGTGTGAGGGTTAGGATCAGGTGGGAAAGAGAAACATGGAAACTGGGGTGGGAAGAGAGCACTCTCTCACTGATGTGTTGATTGGACACCTTGCAATATGTCGGCCAAAACCTGCTTTCCCTAATTATATTGTGTTTTGAGTGAAATTCTGCTGATTAAAACATTCATCTCCACCGTCTGTTTTGAAGTGGGCAGAATTGTTCTGGAAGTGCTGATAGGAGCCATTCCTACATTTGTCTGCAGCTTTTAATCATTTTAACAAACAGAAGTTGTGCCGGACTTCAAATATATTTAGAATGTTCCCAAGTAAACTTGGCAAATGCTAAGTAGAGGAAAATATTTACTAAAACCTGGCAGTCATCAAAGACAACAGATTGAGCATTTTAGCTTTAAAAGGATGAAACAACCCAAAAGTGCTGTGTGTGTGATTCTACCTAGTAAGCACACTTAAAAAGAGTTCCTGAATGAAGTGGGATGGTATACATCAGTATAAGGACATTTTTCCACACATTGAGGGTAGAGGAGAGGCAGTAATGATATTTTGAGCAAGTATTCTTAGGTTTGAGTATATATCTCACGACATTCAATGGGCCTTGCTTTGTGGGTGGATGGGGAAGAAAGTAATATGAGGGAATTAGCAATCACCCTGCAACACCATTGTATGTGGAGGAGCAACAGACAGACTCGCCTTTGAGGCTTGCCATTCCAAGAGAACGAAGTCAACCTCTCTAGGGCATATTATCTTATTAACAATGCTTTATTGCATTTTTGCTGTTGCATTAATTGTTTTATTGTATATTTGTAATGTTGTGGTTTTAGCTATAAACCAGTTGAGAGGTGTGTGCACGCGCGCTGTATATATAAGCACAGAAGAAGCCTTATATAAAGGTTGGGCAGTTTGAGATCTATACAATAGCTTGTAGCTCTCTTAACTACTTGAAAAGGTTGGCTGTGAGAAATGAGGCAGGCAATGGCAGATCTCAGGCTAAGCATCCTCATGAGTAGTTTGTAGGATGGTGATGTTGCAGCCATGAAAAAGAATGTGGTGCCCACATCTCACTGCAGATAAGGTGTGTTAATAACCTTTCAGCTCTGCTCATCCTGTGTGGAAAGCTCCCTTACACTAAATCAGACATTGGTCTACCTGGCTATGGCTCTCCAAGGTTTCAGATAGGGTACATTCCCATCCCTGCTCTGGATATGCTGGGGAACTGAACTCAGGACCTTGTGCGTGCAAAGCAGTTGCTCGCTCACTGAGCCACAGGACTTATATATTGGATGTAAGGACAAGCAAAGCTGCAATTCTGAGCAAACCTAACATGGAAGCAAGCTCTTTAGGGCTAAATGGGACTTCCTTCTACGAAAACATTTTTAATATCAGATTTGCTGTGTCTTGAGCTTTTGTAGCTTCTGTACTTCATCTGGTGGGTCCCTCTTGTGTTCTAGGATGTTATTAATGGCACTAAAATAGTAGATATTTACGAGGTGAGGCAGAGGCTACAAGGGAAACATTTCTTCTAAGTGTATCTACTCAATAGATAAATTGCATGTTTCATGTTAGCATCAGCTGCAAAGTTAGAATGTTATAAACAGCTAAACAGCCTTTTCGAAGAGGTATCGTCAGGCTTCAGGGCCGGCTTCCTTCTCACTTTGACCGTAGATAAGCAATGCAAGATAAAGCAGTCTCTTACCAGCAACAGAAATGTTTAATGAACGCAGCAAAAGAACAAAACACCATTCTCACAGTGCAGGTGCTCCCAATTACTGTATTTTTCACTCTATAAGACGCACCAGACCATAAGACGAACCTAGTTTTTGGAGGAGGAAAACAAGAAAAAAAATATTCTGAATCTCAGAAGCCAGAACAACAAGAGGGATCGCTGCGCAGAGAAAGCAGGGATCCCTCTTGCTGTTTTGGCTTCTGGGATAGCTGCGCAGCCTGCATTCGCTCCATAAGACGCACACACATTTCCCCTTACTTTTCAGGAGAGAAAAAGTGAGTCTTATAGAGCAAAAAATACAGTAAGTTTCTCCCACTTCCCTCTAGTTACTTCCGTCTTTCCGTCTCCTATTTACCCGATCTATCAACCAATTAGCCTTCTGTGAAGTTACCTTATCTAATCTCCTAGCCCTGGGCCTAAGATACCTTCCAGTGAGGGAGATTCGGTTAACTCTCTCTACTCCCGTTCTGCCTCTTCTTGTTGTTCGCCTCCCAGCTCTGCCAAACTCCTGTCCTCCGAACTGTGTCCCTCAGCAAACCATCATTCCAGGTCAATACTACTCTCCTGCTCCTGTGGAGCCCCAGGATTCAGGTTCTGAGCAGAGGGAGAGGGGGGCGCCCACCACTCCTCATCAAAGTAGTACTCCCCAGCCTGATCCCTGACAGGTATCCTGTTACTGATGGTTTCTAAAACTAGCAGATATTAAGATTTTTTGGCATAAAGGTTTTTTCCTTATGCAGAAAAAGAAAAAAGGAGACCATTACCTGTCACCCTTTACTCTCTCGGTACAGTAGTACCTCAGGTTACATACCTTTCAGGTTAAATACGCTTCAGGTTACAGAAATAGTACCTCGGGTTAAGAACTTTGCTTCAGGTTGAGAACAGAAATCATGCTCTGGCGGCGCAGCAGCAGCAGGAGGCCCCATTAGCTAAAGTGGTGCTTCAGGTTAAGAACAGACCTCCGGAACGAATTAAGTACTTAACCCAAGGTACCACTGTACTGAGCAAGCTCTCTCTTTAACTTACAGAACTGTCGCAGGCTGAAGGACTTTGACATGAGCTGATAGGTTAG